AGCATTGCATGTAATCTCAACGTAACAGCAACCACGTTCAACTGTCACTAGCACCGTGCTCAATGTCACCACGGTCGCACAATGCTGACGCAGGTGAGTTTCACGCGGAACACGGACACAGTGGCAGGACGCTGCGTCAGTCGCGAGGCGGAATGCAACCGTAGAAGGCGCACGACCGATCGTGTTGTCTGTACAGTTGCTGAATTAATGACGTGAAAGCACTCGCCGTTGTCAGTGCATCTAGCGCGCGTTCTTTCGTAGTTGCTTCGTTGTCAGCGAGCTGTTACTCTTTGTTATTACTCGGACGAAGCGATTTCGCTGAAGGTGTCCCGCTGGCTCTGAGTGATGAGCCCAGTTCCATTAGTTTCGGATCATCACGACACACGCGCTGCGCAGCCCACGTGCTTTCCGAGCCGGAGAGGGAGTCGCGCCTTCTGCTTCGCATTCATATGTAAACAAGAGAGGAGAATTTGCCTACTCAATATGGCCGACTTCCGGCTTCATCGCGGCTTCACAACGAGTGACGTCAGGGCCTCTCCTTACCTTTTCCTTCCTCCGTGCCTGTCTGTGTAAGTTGTGGAATGAGGGGTGGGTGGTAAGGGTGGGGGGGGGGGCGGTTACGTTTGCAGAAGACGGAACCCCCTTACCGGTGGGTCGACAGAAGCGACGAAATTCCGCGTTGGGGGGGGGGGGGGCGCTGCTGCGCAGTCTGCGCGTTGTGTTGCGCGTAGCGTGCGGGCGTGACCGATGACCCAGTCAGTTGCACACGGCACAACTGCCAGCTCTGGTCTGGCACTGCCGTGCTGTTTCCCGCCGGCGTCATTTTTTTTTTATATAGAGATGTCACGCTGTAGAGTAGGCAACTGCCAACTAAGACCACAAAAGAACCCCCTCCCCCCGCTTCTCGCCTTACCCTCTCCACCGCTAACTCTCGTTGCGTGACGACTCGTTAGCGCTGGGCCTCACGGAAGTTGAGGACGAAGGATGGCATAAACGAGACGATAAACAAGAAAAGGACGCGACGCGCGTGTGGGTTGCGGAACTGGCGACACCTGCTCGTTAGCGTAAGAGCAGGTGGAAGTGAGGCGGTGCGTTGATAACGGTCTGGACGACCGTGGGAAAAAAAACCATTCGCTCTATGCTGGAACTCGTATAATGGGGTTCTCTGTATATGTCTTTTCCGTCCACTCTGATTGGTGGCTTGTGTGTTCCACTTTTCTTTGTTTGGGGTGGTAGTTATTGTACAACTGTTCTGGCATAGTGGAGTGTTTCTTGACTTTGTCTTGATACGTGGTTTATACGCTTTTTCCGGTGCTGCCCATGTATTCGGACAGCCTTTTCAAATTCCTTTCACCGTTGGCGCTGCCGTACAGATTCGCTAAGCGAACGCGGCTGATGATTGAGGGAAGTTTCCTGTGAAACGATGTGGTGGCACATGTGGGCCAATTCTCTCCTGCGTACACTGATATACGTTGGTATGCAGATTTACTGCAGTTACAGGACCGGCGCTGCCGGGAAAGGGGGGAGCAGCTTTACTTTTGGCGAGGAAGCCGTTCTTTATGCGGGTCACTTCCGCGCTACTAGGCCAGCAAATTATCTCATCGCTAATAGCGTGTAAGAAGTGAACGACCCGTGTCACACAAACATGAACAGACGACTCGGTAACATCGAATTTGTCGCCTATGGCGTACATAGATATTTGTGAGCCTAGGTACACAAGCGCTATGAGGCATGTTTTTTTCGGCACTGATTTGTTGGCGGCCTTGCACTGCCCTTGGGTAGAAGGCTGAAGTCTTGAACTTGGCCCTGAAACTATCAAAAGTCTCCCTGGACAGCCTGAAGAGGCGCTTGAATTCATACTCATGGTACCTGCCGATAATGCTTTCGTACCCGGGTACACGGTTGGCATCGTCGCGCACCAACGCGCACGCGACCAAGATGCACGCATCGTCGTACTCATCGTCGCAGTCACTGCAAACGGCACCGCTGACGGAATCGTCGTCGCTGCTCGAGTCCAGCAATTCCATCGCAGTCACAAGAAGTGCCATCACGGCCGTGTATTGATCGGACAAGGCGGCGGAGGCGGCTATTTTAGGCTTACACTACAAGGTGTTCTCCGGCCTGCACTCACGTCAACTCACGCCTTCGTTTTGGCTGTAGCCGTCGCGCGCTAGTGTCGGCTAGTGCCGAGGCGTGGTTGAGGCTGCACCTGCACTTGCTCGACCGGCGCTGCACGCTCACTGCACCGCTTGGCACCGCTTTTTCTGCACCTGCACTTTTCTGAACTAGTGCAAGCCAAATCGAAGATTCCTTATGTATTCGGACGGCCTTTTCGAATTCCTTTCACCGTTGGTGCTGCCGTACAGATTCGCAATGCGAACGTGGCTGATGATTGAGGGAAGTTGCCTGCGAAACGATGTGGTGGCACATGTGGGCCTATGCTCTCCTGCGTACACTAATATACGTTGGTATGCAAATTTACTGCAGTTACAGGACCGGCGCTGCCGGGAAAGGGGGGGGGGGAGCAGCCGCACAAAAAATACACCCCTCTCCCCCCACTTGAGGTAACTCATCAGTTAGGAGTATGCCCTACTGTAGGAAATTTATGGTACCGCCGCCCCTGTGCATTTAGTAATGGCTTAATTGCAACTACACGTCTGTGTCATTCATTATTATTGGCTTCAGTAATCGGAAGGGGCACGTCAATGTTTTTTTTTGCTGGCCTCACTGGTATTTTCGTAGAGACACTTGTGTAAGAAAAAAAAATCTGTAGAGGTCGTCGTTTAAAGTCGGTAAAATTAGCCGAATTCTGCAAACCACTAGACACAGCGTCATGGGGAAAAAGGAAGCGAACGATATAAAGACGTCAGGACGGATAGACCTCCTTCTTGCGACAAGTGACCGCCAGCTTGAGACACCCGATCGGAATATCGGTGGGTGCCCGATGGCACTGGATATCACTGGATTGGAGGCTGACGCTCTACCGCTACACCACAGCTACCAACTGAGTGACGTAATGTGCTCCAGCTCCGGGACTTTACCAAGGTGGCTTTGGCTTTACCCGCTCCGGCTTGGGAAAGGTTGTAACTCTACTAATGACTTCACGTCGCCCAACCCGCTCGTATCAGGGTAGCTAGAGTTGCTGCAACTCCGAGGGCAGCGACAACCGCGCGTCGTCTGCTAGGGAGCAGCCGCCATGTTAGTTTCCGGTGGTCTGCTCCTATCAGGGTACGATCCGGGTAGCGACAACCGCGCGTCGTCTAAGGAGCGGCCGCCATGTTGGTTTCCGGTGTCCTGCTCCTATCAAGGTACAGTGAGGGTTGCGACAACCGCGTGTCGTCTGCTTAGGAGCGCCCGCCATGTTCGTTTCCGGTAACTTCCTCCTATCAGGGTACAATCAGGCTAGCGACAACCGTGCGTCGTCTGTTAAGGAGTGGCCGCCATGTTCGTTTTCGGTGGCTTGCTCCTATCAGGGTACAGTCAGGGTAGCGACAACCGCGCGTCGTCTGCTAAGGAGCGGCTGCGATGTTCGTTTCCGGTGGCTTGCTCCTATCAGGGTGTAATCAGGGTAGCGACAACCGCGCATCGTCTGCTAAGGAGCTGCCGCCATGTTCGTTTCTGGTGGCCTGCTCCTATCAGAATGTAATCAGGGTAGCGACAACCGCGCGTCGTCTGCTAAGGAGCGGCTGCCATGTTCGTTTCCGGTGGCCTGCTTCAATCAGTATACAATCAGGGTAGCGACAACCGCGCGTCGTCTGCGGCCGCAGTGCTCGTTTCCGGCGGCTACACTTTTAAAGGGACACTAAAGTGAAAGCAGATTTATGTGTTATTTGTGAATTACTATTTCGCTATACCAATATCACCACGCTAGGCGTGATAAAAGGCACAGAAAGAAAATGCAGGGGATAACGCCACCTCGAAATACCCGCACCGTATGCCGTACCTAGGTCATGTTTAGTTCTCAATCGGTAAAAATGAAGTACACATTGACCTCGAAGGGAGTCACAGACCGAACATACCGAACTTCAAGAAATTTTGTCGAAGCAATGTCGCCGAAACGCGAAAAATTCTCTTCGAAATTCGTGACGTTCTGCGCGAAGATTTCGGCGCGAAATTAAAAAAAAATTAGATGCTGGTCTTGATTTTCTTCTTTACCATATAAGCTGTGTCGGTGAAATAAAAGGAAATTGCAATTTACAGAGTGTAATTCATCACTCTCAACCGATTCATTGTTTCATTCTTGTGTTGCTTTTAGGAGCACTGACACAAAAATTTGGCACCCTGTTTTTTTTTTTGTTGTTGCAAGAGGTAGCTTATGACCCACTTATCGCGGATGGAAAAAAAAAAAAAAAACCTCGTTTGAGTGAGTGCGCGACGGTGATTCATTTATATACATTTTTATAGTGCCCAGTCTCAGTCAGGTTCGGTTTCAAAGAGCACCGAGCTAGGCAGGAGCAGTTCCGGGGGCAAGGTAAACGCAGCTGGCCACGTGACCGCGCAAAACTGTGACGTGGGCGCCGCACGGACAGCCAGCACAGCCAGCACACGCAAAAGCGCAGGTGCGGAAGAGGAAATGGAAGGCAGCGCAAGCATAAGACGTGTGCCATCAACGAGCCAACGCAAACTCGTGATGTCGGTTTGCTTGCATTGCCCCTACCTTGATGTCGGCGTAGCGACGGCCCTCGCATATGGCTCGGTCGTGCGGCATGCCTTTCAAATTGATTTTAAATAGGTTCTAGGCTATATTTGTCCATGATATCTCGTAGATAAGATGATATTGCTTTAGCGCAGCTCAGTTTGAGCGTGACGACAGTGTGAGCGCTAACTTTACGTTATCTTTTCTTTCTATTAGTTTCTTTCTGGTAAAATTGTCAGTTGTTAGTATGCGCTTGGCTTGTCGCTTTCTTTGTCTTGTCCCTTGGCTTTCTCGCGCTATTTTTCACCATCGTTGTGATGAGTACTTGTGTTCTCACGACATGTTTTCTTCTTATTCTGTGCAGGCCACCCGGAAGGTGTCGACCTGTGGCTACCTGTTTGTGGCCCCCGACTGGGACTTCTCGCAGGCGGTCAACCGGACGAGGGTGAGTCGCGGGCCTTCTTTCGCTGCAGTGCACAAAACTTCCTGTGATCCTGCTTTTTCTGAGCCCTTTTCAGTGATAGACTGCAAACTCCCTGTTCTAGGTTCCAATTTAAGAAAAAATGGCGGCTGTACCCACAGCACCAGTCAATGTAGCGCAAAGGGAATGACTCCATAATTCAGCTTCAAGGCTTTTCGGCTAGGCTACACAGCATATTATTTAACACTGAAACCTCATTGTAAGAATGTTGCTCCTTATGCGAAAGTAAGTTTGTTATATCCAAAATTCGTTATAAAGGTTTATTTCTAACATTATATTTATTGCATGGTTATATTCTATTTACTTTGTTATAACCTATATTCCGTTATATTTGGGTTCGTTATATCGAGGTTTGAGTGTACTTTTGGCTTTTACTCACGTGAATTTATCTTTATAATTCCCAGTCAGTTGGTTCCCATCAAGATGTAATTGCACGTTCTCAACAGTTGTGGGTTCCTTTAAGCTTGAACACTAAGCACTTTGTCTGTAACTTGTTCCTTTTGCAGAGGTGGCAGAGGCGCTGGTTCGTCCTCTACGACGATGGAGAACTGACTTACTCGGTGGATGAGCATGTGAGTGTTTGTTTGTAGATGACTAATGTTTGTCAGCACAACGGACGCTGACAACTAACATGAACGGTTTTCGCTTAGCGAAGTGCTTACTTATGAAAGCTCACGAAACACAATTGTAGAGTTTTGTTTACAAGCAATCGCACCTCAATAATCATTCTCCTCATCCTTGTATGATTTTGTCCTTGATGAATAGTGCCAAATACGCAGATGCATGTAAAATGAAAACAACATTTCGACTCTCATCTGCAGTTTTCTGATAGAACATGAAAATGGATGTTTCTCGAAACACCAGCTGGTAGACAACACATAAATTCCGTAAAGTACAAAGCAAAAATGTATAAGTCATAAATAAGTCTACCAAAAAAAAAGTAGCTAATTCTGATGCAGTCAGATGTGAATCGAAATTTCCGAGGCATGGGAAAGCCCAGCTGTTGCTGCTTCTTTAATGCATCTAATTTACGCACCATGCAGTTTACTGTTAATATGCCTTTATATAGCACCACTGCATTTGTACTGCTCATTGACACTTATTGATTGCTCCATTCAGGGCTCGTATGTTATATGCGTTTACCCTCTTGTGCCCATATCTTATCATCATTCATGGGCCACACATATGTATCTAGACCCATCGCTAGATGACAACATATTGTTTTTCTGCTGAGATGTCATGGTAATGCTGAGGATCCCAGACATGCCGATTCGGAGGCCAACCTTCTCACCGAATTAAAATACCAAAAGTGTTTGCCAACATTTACGCCTTGTATATTGCTGGTATTGTCCATGGTGTGTTAAGAAATAGTAGCGCAAGCTGTGTCACATTACTGTTCCCCGTGCAACTTGACGCACCCTGTTGCACAACTGCATACTTCGTCATCGCTCCACACGATCCGGCTGGCGTAAAATGAATTGTGTGATTTGTCCTCTTCCAGCCCAACACAATCCCGCAGGCGGTGATTGACATGACCAAGGTAGTGGCTGTGGCTCATGCCGAGGAACTCACCGGGAACCAGTTTTCCATCGCCATCACTACCCCGGAAAAGGTCCACTTTGTCAAGGGCACGGGCCGCGATGACAGCAAGTGGTAAGTGATACTTTGATCAACGGGTATTGTGCCAAATTTATTCTCTAACCACATTATGTTGTCACGGTCTACCTCGACAGTGAGCATGATTGTATCTGACCCTGCGTTCCAGTGTAATTGACTTGTCGGGGCACTCTGTTGGCCGAGTGTGTTCTGCATGACAACAACTTACAAATATGCAGGGTCCCATGTTTGTAGAACTTTACTGATGTTATCTGAGGAAGCTTTAAATGCGTAATGTAGCGGAACCAACAAGTACAGAGAAGGATCCACAGAGGACGGTTCTCAGAGAAACTGTGTACCCGTCTTTTCCGCTACATTATGTATATAAGTCAGAAACAACTAAACCGAATTTCAGCTTCATGTGAGAAGATACAGTTTTGAGTGCCTGGTATTTGTAAATAGCAGGCTTTGCATCGTATGTGATGCTCTGACCGCTTTTTGAATGAAAAAGCAGAGAGATGGGCTGTGCATGTCCTGACATATTTTGGTCTGCCTCTTCAAGGCATATCCATATAATTAACTATTACTGATTTGTCAGTTTGTGGCATTCATTGCACTTCATGATGTTGGATGACCCAAACTCGCGCAGGTGGTTTGACGTGCTGTCCCAGTTTCCGAGCAACATGGTGCGCAGCAAGAACAAGCACAATGCCTGCAACCTGGCACTCACCAAGTCGGCTCCATCTGTCAACATCCTGTCGTGTCAGGTTAGACAAGCTTTAGCTTATTGATTTCTTTTGTGCATTTAGGTTGTAACATAATTTTTATGAGCTGCTTGGCCTTAAAATAGATTTTTTCAGGTGCATAAACGTAATTTGTATGCATTCTTCTCAAGCACTGGAATTTTCTCAGGTTTACGTCTCCCTATTTCGCGTACGTTTTCACTCAAACCACAATATAAAGAACCCAGATATAAATAAATATAGGTTATAATGAAGTAAATTAAGAATAGTCTTGCAAGAGCTCTAACAATTTTTTGGAATAGAACAAACTTATTTGCTAAAAGATGTAACTTTGTTATAATGAGGTTTGAGTGTAATCCTATTGAAAAATGTGTTAACTACTGCTGACACATTGAAAAATTTTTTTTCTTGGTTAGTTTCGATTTCGAATACGGAGTTCCTGGCGGAATTGGTCTGACTATCACTAACGAACAGCAAGCATAATGTGATGAAGTGAAGGATCAACGAAGTATGAAGAATGTGTAGTTTGACTTTTGACTCGCTTGATTTTTCAAAGCACGGCCAAAATGATAATGACCTGCATGCATTATTTCTGCACATGCTGATATCACAATGGTCACAAAGAGGAAAGGCAGTGTATACCTATGGTTAAGGAAACTCTATTGAAGTGTTCTGCCTCATTGAACTTTGTGGTAAGAATCTCTTTTAATCGAATCTAGTATTTATTGGCAGGGTAATTTGTCACTTCTATGGATACTGAACATTTATTCCAGTAATTTATTGCAGATCAACACATGAACTAACTAGCGAAAACAAAGTTCACTAAGTGTTGTTTCTGATGGTTCCCTATGCATAACCCGCCCACTCTGCAGTGAAGGCACTACAGTACTGGTAACTTTGTCTTTGCTATCTCTTCCGTGTGCGATATATGACAGTATTTTTGTGTCTCGCTCTTAGAGGGCCACTCACCAGGCCCCACACCAAATTTTAGTTAGACAGTGGAAGTTGTTGGGTGTCCAATGAGGAACATTTTGCCACAAAAATGTTTTGAATCGGTTCATCACGAGCGGAGAAAACAGGTTTTTTGAAGTGGCAGCGAAACGAGGATGAGAGGAGGCGAGCTCGAAACCCTTGCCACTCCTCCGCGTAGCCTTCGCAAGCCTAATCTCTTCCCCATCCTCTGAGGCATCCGACCAAGAGGTCACGTGCGCATGACGCGCTCAAACAAGTCCAACCCCCGAGCACGCGAGTGGCGTTGCTTTCTTGACCACCGTTATTTAGTGGTCTTCTGTTTGTTTCTGGGGGATGGTTTGGAAACGCTGGCTGAGACGTGGTAGAATAGATGAGCACAATGAGTGCGCGAACACGTAGGAGCTTTCCACGGTGGCCGTCTGCTCGATGTGCTGACTGCGGGTACACGAACGCATGCGAAACGCCGACTCATTAGCCCCACATCTCGTTGCAATTCGCGGGAGAAAAAATGGAAAAAAAGACGCTCACATTCTCTTATTGCATCTCATTATTTATCTGGAGCTTTATTAATCTCTTCAAGCAACAAATTACATAACCTATACGTGTCATATTAAATAATTTTCGCCATGTCACATGCCATTGTTTGCAACGTCAGAGCAGAGTCGTCTATGTAGAGGACCAACGTCACTGCATTGCTGTGTACTTACAGCCATTCATACGCGCACTTCATGCCCTCATTCTCTAGGCACGTGCCGGCAGAAGGGAGGGGGAGCAGCGATTATCTTGATTTTGACCCATTTCCGCACATAGCGTTACAAATTTTGGAAGACGTGATCATGAACGCCTCGTCTACGCATTGCACTTGTTAGCTGAAAATTGTCATCCCTGGTGAGTGGCCCTTTAAAGGTTTCAGGGGGGTGTCTACAGAGATCAGGAATTGAGATGTGTCCTGAAAACAAGATGTAGATATTTCATATATGTTCTCTGTAGACTCAGTGTAGGGCTGGCTTGAGAGATGTGTCAGTTTTAAAGTTTAAATACAACTTTTTTATGGGAATGCAGAAGCAGTATGAAGATCATGGACTTGGGAACAGGGAGAACTACCGCAATGGAAGCGTAGACGTGCAGCCTGCTCAGCAGCCACTGGAGATTCGGAGCAACGGAACGACGAACACAGTCTCAACAAACAACCGCGAGGGTACTGCAAATGTTTCCTCCTTTTGTACTTCTGTGCAGCAGTGATGTTTTACTTCATTATTCTTCATGCAACATTTAGATTTGATTGTTTCTTTTAGGAACATTTGTATGCCTTCTTGAGCTCATAATTTCTTTTTTTCTACAATGTTTTCATATCGGAATGCAGAATAAATCCAAATGTTTATTGCTTCCCAGTATACAAGGCTAAAGAAATAGTGTTCGCATCTACAATTCAGCTAGAATTAGGTCCATATAATCATTCATATGTAATCCATATGGTATCCGTATGAGGCCAGCACAGTATCCCTATGTTCTTCCATATGGGCTCCGTATAAGTATCCGTGTGGTAATGGGCTCGTGAATCACAAGCTCGACATAAAATGTCTGTAACACTGTTGCTGTGGCTTGAGGAGTCTGACAGTTTTTCCAACACGGTCTTTTATTGGCAAGCCTCATTCCTCACGATAAAGTCGCCTTATATTTTGCTTTAATGTTTGCCTGTTGTTTTTTGAGGTTGTTGGCTCACTTGACTTGAAGTGTTCTTTTATATGTGATCCAAAAGAAACCTTTGCAGTAAGTGTAGACCTTTTAGTCTGAATAATAGATGCTGTCAAATTATGCCATTTTTTTGTCAGTCTCATCTCACGCACTATGAATATGACACTGTTGCCAGCGCTTCGCATCATTGCCACTTTGCAGAATTTAGTGTTTACGAGGCTGTCATAAATTCTGCACATTCGTGGTTTGTGTTGTGCACCATATGAACAACTCAAACGTAAAGCCTCGTTGTCATTTCTTTTGGGCACTTCGCCTTTCTGGGGAATTTCTGGATTTATTGTCTTGTTTCACACTTTGTGTTGCCTCTATTCTGGGTGGTTGCGAGCTGTCATTTAAAGAATAAATGAATTAGCTGTTACTGTTTACTAAAGCTTTTATAAGTTATAGTAGCCACCTTGTGCCTTTTATAAGTGATTTTAACCTGCTCGAAGTTTATTTAATACATTGGAATTTTTCAGTGCTGCAGTAATGTAATGCTATCTTATCATTATTTTTTCTTGCAGCGCATGTTCCTCACAATGGAGTGCCACTCTGCAGGCTTGACAGGTGCGTCTGCTTGAGGCCTATTCTTTCTAATACTGCATAAAGTTGTGATTAATTCTTGTCAAAATGGTTTTCGCTTCATTTCAATCAAGTTGCAGGCAGCAGGAAAGTGTCACCAACATACAGGAAGAACACAACAATTTGACTTTTATCAAACTGGAAAATGGAAAATTGGATGCTACATTTAGACAGTTTTGTTGTAGTATCCGTATGGTCTTCCATACGGATACTACAAGATTCGGTAATTTGTTATATTGAGACAAGTTACTACTGTGTTTAGCACCCTGTTGCAGTCAGAAGCAGTTCTTAAATCTTACATAATTAGGTTATACCGATTGACTCTATGTTTTTGCAGATTTGCCCTTTCACTTTTTATAAAAAGCGCAGAGGATCTTAGTTTGCAGTGTAATTGCAGCGCTTCTTTAACAGTTGCCTTTTATCATTCTCGGCAGTGGCGGCAGCAACAGTAGCAGCAGCGTGGCTGCCTACACCGATGCGGACGCACTCGCCAAGAGCCGTAGTCGTCGCTACCTCAAGCGGGAGAGCCGGGGGCTCAAGAGCCAGCGGAGCCGCTCGGACGGCGTGGCCAAGATGGTGCCAGCGTCCCGTGCTTCAGAGCTGTTGCCGGCGGAGTGGGCTGGAGAGCGGGACCACCCGCGAAGCGGGTCCAGTGGCAGCCCGCCTCCGTGTCCTTTCCTACACAACCCTGTCTACCTTCTTCTGGCAGAGCCACATGCCAAGACCACCTCTGGCACCAAAGAGACCAAGACTAGTGAGTTGCAGTAATCTCAGATAATTTGTTTCACGGATCAAATGGTGACATTTCAAGCTAGATTATCTAGTTCACAGCGCTGCTGTAGTGGTTGCGGTGGACTACAGAATGCACACAGAAGGCCCATCTATTGTTAAGCGCTCAGTCGCATATAATCATCAGCTGCAAAAGCATCTACAAAGTAAGCAGCTGTGCAGGTTTGCAAGTTGCCTTACGGAAGTGTAGTAGTCTCTTTACTGATTCGCTAAAAGAAGAAGTATGATGTAGAGGGGACACTTGATGACAGTGCTTGCACTAGGCATTCTAGGATACTTTGAAACGGCCAATGTTATGCACACAGATGTTAGTTTTTTAGCGGCAAGGTTGAGACGTGCACCAAGATCCGAAGCCAGGCTGGTAAATGGGAGGGCGGTGCATGCGTGGCCTGATTAGGCATCGCGTTCCACTCTTGTAGGGGAAGTTCGAGAGTCCTGCGGTTTTCCTAGAAGCAAGTTGCAACATGTGCACGTAGATGGAAAATTTATTGTAGCTTTCAGTCATCTCATGTTCTTGCTTTTACATTCTTGCCATTCGTTGTTTGGTTCTTGGTTTTGAGCTCCTGACTTCTTGAGTTCCTGGTTTTGTGTTTGTGACGTACGGTGCTGAGTTAATGCTTTTACATTCTTGATGTATGTTCCTTAGCTCTTGCCTCTACATCCTTGAGTTCTTGCTTTCATGGTCCTGAAGTATGTTATTGAGTTTCCTTTTAGCTTTATGAACTATGTTCTAGAGTTCTTGCCATTACACTTATGATGTGTAGTTCTTGCTTTGTGTAGTTCGTGTAGTTCTTGCTGATGTGTAGTTCTTGGGTTCTTGAGTGCTTTCCTTTATATTTTTGTCGTACACTCTTTGAGTTCTTGCATTAATGACATACATTCTCATCGTTCTTGCTGCTTTTTTTTTGCCAGGTGTGCCGACGGCCCAGCAGCTTCTGTTGAGCCGGTGGCAGAATGACGCCAAGGGACCCAACCTCCTCCACCAAGAAAACCACCGGTCGTGGCGGACACACGAGAGCTCGCGGCGGGACGGCGGGGACGGGGGCTGCGCCGTGCCCCACTCGCCTCCTTGTCGGGACCTGCCGCAGTGGAACGTCATGCTTCCCGGCAGTGGGACTTCTCACGAAAAGCACGCGGTGAGTTGTTGTGGGTGATGGAGGTTTTTTTGTGTACTGTGAGATTTCGCATATTAGACAGTCAGTATAAGGAGCGTTCAAATTGGCTACTTTCTGCTTGTGTTTCTACTTATGCTGATGGCACGTTGAAAAAAGAACAACAGAAAATTAGGTGACAATCCAGCAGTAAATGTTAGCAGAATGTCATATTATATAAACTCAAACTGTGCTTGAGACAATATACCAGAGTAGAAACATACAGGACGAATGCGGACTAACAACTCATTTATCGAAATTGCTAAAACTTGCCTCCTGGAACAGTGGGCACTAACAGTCATGACCGCATTTCGACAGCACGCTCCCTCGCCACCATAACACCTCTGTCTGTACAAGAAAAATCAAGCTATTTCTTGGAAAGATGCGCAGATGTATTGCTGATGCATTTATGGGGGCCATGTTCAGTTATTCACAAGGCTTACATGATTTTTATGGGCCCTTTGGTCCATTGCCTGCCCTGACTTCTTGGTGCTACATACTATGAATGGGCTTGCACTTCTTCACACATTTGCTATTTGCTACACTAAATGGACAGGTGCTTCCCACTGTCATCACATAGTGAGTTAGAATAATCTATTAAATGTTTATTAATACACCTCCTGGGCGGCCCCACATAAACCATACCGCACATAAGGGGAAATTCATAGACCACTTCTGTTCTGCAAGGTTCATACACAGTACATTTCAATACACTTGTTTTTCTGTGTTCATCCTGTCTGCTTCGACTCTGGTGTCGTGTCATAAGTGCAACTATCCCAGTTCAGTTTATTCCTAATGAAACTCTTGTTAAATGGAGCCTATTATCTTGCTTCCTTGAGGCACCATTTAATGAAAGTGTAGTGGAATTGCAGTATGCTTTAAAAGTCTTATGCTTTTTTTTTTAATATTTTCAAGTAGCTAATGTTCATGCATTAAAATGCTACAATAATATCATCCTGGATTCTTTCATTGAGGAGTATCTCTTACATCCTAATTGTCATCATAGGAAGCTAAAAAAAATCTGTGGTTTCATCGAAAACCTGGCTTTTGATTGAAGGCCTTACCATTTAGCTAGCTGGTCTGGGCGTAAGGTATGTAATGGCCATGTCCCGTGCTTGTGCAGTCGAGAGGTGTTCCCGACGGCTGCGGTCAGGGAAGCGGCACATTGGATGCATCGGCGTGCGACGGTGGGATCGGCCAGCTCATGGGCGACAGTTTGCCGGAGGTACGTGGGATGAAACCTGGTGACTTACTCTCCTTCATCTATCCAATGTGCTTGTCTGCTTTGAGCTCCATTTCTTTCACTTTTTAGATGCATCGCCCGCGTGCTTCACCACTTTTCACTCTTGAGATATGCGACTTTATTGAGCGTTATGCATAGAAGTAAAGCTTGAATTAGGAATAACTGCAAAGGCACACCATGGGGGAGAGAGAAAGAGAGATAAAGATGCAACGAAAAGCAGGGAGGTTAAGCAGACGCATGTCCGGTTTGCTACCCTGCACTGGGGAAGGGATGAAGGGGAGAAAAGAGGTTGTAGAGAGAGAAGAAAGGTACAAACAATCACGGGCACATTCGGGGGTGCACAGGCAGAAGCTTATCAATCCAGCATGCGTGTCGTCTACGTAAAAAATAGCTGTGCGGATCTTTGATCTCTTTATGCAAGTTAGTCGATGGTTGATTCATGCATGCGCTGCCGCTGTTACAGTCGACTCACGTTAATACGGAGCTGTCGCATTCACTGAGTCGCCTTTCTAGCGAAACTGTGACTTTTTTTAACCATGAGCGAACGATGCTCGATGCAGGATCTGTTTGTCAAAAAAGGCTGGCTGATGCGGCTCGGCCCGGATGGGGAGTGGTCGAAGCACTGGTTCGTTCTTCGGAACACCTCTCTGACGCACTTCAACGACCCCTCTGCGGAGGACTCTGGCGAACCCAGCGCCACCCTTGACCTGTGCATGGTGCACGAGGTCAGGGAGGTCGATCTGGATCGCAACTACGCCTTTGTCATTACGGTGAGCACCGCCAAGTCACTCCAAGGCAGTGGTGTGATTATGGATAAAAGACGGACATCGGTTCATTTTTAGTGATATCTCGACATTTTTTCTACTGGGAGTGGTCAGTAAAAAGTATTGTGTTTACACTCAAACCTCAGGGTAACAGACTGTGATATAACAAACTATTGGTTATAACAAATAAATGAAGAATAGCCTTTCAATAGGCATAGTGTTAAGAAAGTACTTTTATAACGAATTTTTGGATATAACAAACTTATTTTCGTGTAAGATGCAACTTGGTTTTCATGATGTTTGAGTGTATTCTAGTATAAGGCAGTCCTAATTACACGGCAAGGGGGGAGCTGTAGGACCTCAGGAAAGAGTAAACAGCTTCGCATCCTAATATAGGCTGACAATCTTTCAAGAATATTTACTTGAATTTCCAGCTTTGAAGTGCACGAAATGCAACTGTGTGACCACGTAATCGTGAGCTATCGTCATCTGATGCACCAGTGCTCTCTTATGGTACTCCCAAAGTTCCCTGTCATCGGTTCCATCAAGTGAGTTGAAAATGCAGCACTTCTTAAAAATATTGGTGCCCAAGCATCCGCTACCCACTGTGCCACCACAGATGGAGATGCACGCTCCAGACACCCCCGACGGGGTCAAGGTTGTATTGTGGGAGGCCATCCACTTGACATAGAGGTATCTCACATGGTCCTTGAAAGGCTTGTTCAGATACACGCATCCACTTGCTGTAACTGACTTGTCATTCCACAAGTGATGGCAGCTGGACTGGCGTCTTGTGTCGCTTCTTCATTACCTTTTCGGTCAGGTGATCCTTATAAGGAGTATCCAAAAGCCGTTGAGAGGGAGCATTGATTGGTAAGGAAACAGGGCTCCGGGATGTCAGCACCGCAGTCATGATGAAATCTATGACAAATGCCTCAGTCATCCAGACATTTCTGGGCATCGTTTTTTATTTTTAGCGCAATGTAAGCTGGCAGCTCATTCCCGTCAGAGGTGCATGCTAACATGTTGGTTATCCACGCTTTTACACGCTTTTTTCGAACCTATGTGCACTTAGCGATCACCTTTTGTGAGTAACGTTTCAGCTGACAGCACGTAAAAAAACATCTGAGTTTTGTCAACGTTTTCGATCTGGCTGAGAGGGATGTTACGCCCTCTTCACAATGCGATGACATGACATTGAAAATAAATTACGCCATCTCCCGCTAAAAAGGAAACCATGAGTAGATGCGGATCAGCGGGCACTAACGCCTACACTGGCGACGGCGTTGACACTGTCGCTCATCGGGGCGTTGCGCAGGAGAGAACCCTGGAGAGGCACAAAAAAATGTAGTGATGGACTGGTGTTTCCTACTGGAACATATCGCTGCTAACGGGCAATGAGAGACAAAAGACTCGGATTGGACACCGAGACCGGCAGTCTGCTTTTGTGGAAATTTTGTGGGCACTGGCAGATGCAGCGACATTGCCATCACTAAATGGCCACGAAACGCATTGTTGAGCTGGTCCCGCTGGCGCATTTTGTGCTCGACTACGTTGAACTTGTTCCAAGTGGAATGGAAGTGGTGACGCCCCCTCTCGTCATGAGAGCTCATATCCAAGGAAAGGTATTTCGCACACTGAGGACAGCTTCGCCACATCTATTTTGTGCGCCCTAAGCCTGCTTTCGTGAGTGAAACTATCAAACGGAAGCGAGGCCTCAGCTGGAAGTCGATCAGGAAAAGTTTCAACACGCCGAAAATGGGAAAACATTTGGTCCTTGATGACAAGCTTGCAGCTTGCTTTCAAGCAGCTCTGCGTAGGCCAAGCTTGTCTTTGTAACGGCTCTTGAAGTGGCATTTGATCAAGGTATATTCAGAAGTGACCTTAATGATAGCATCACCGGAGAAAAGGAACTGCCAGCAAAATAAATTTCACTATCTAGGGGGTGCATTGTGCTCGCCTTTATATCTTCGTGTGATTGTCATAACTTGCCACAGTTTTAATGTATCATTCAGAAGTGCTGCGATTTGATCTTAAGTAAATGAAACTTCTATATTCATGTTCAGTTCGACTACTTCGCGTAGCTAAATTCCGGTGTGAACCACCAAATATCAAAGACTATTAGAAAAATATTTGACAATTCAGATATTTACATGCCAAGAATAAATAATTAAAATGAATTGATGGTGGGGATGATGTCAAATGATGACAATGATACTCGGAATGACATTAATTAAGGTGTCCTAGTCTACCCTTATAAACACTTATGTGCTTACAGCTTCGATTTCCCAGTGTTTTTAGGGCAGGGAAATGAATTATTTATTTTTTCTTGCTTCTTTTCTTTCGTTGCACGAAAAAGCTGTGGGAAGCGGATGAGGTCATCCTTTGTGCCGTGACTGCTGGCATTCGCACGAACTGGGTGCAAGCCATTCGTCAGGCCGTGAGAAACCGAAGCAGCATGACAATCATCTCGAAAGACGTACCACCACCTGGTTTGGGGACGTCTACTGTGGCAACACCGACGGTGCCGCAGGTGGTGTCTTCGCCAGCGCCACCCACGCTCGCAGCCTTGGAAGGGAGGCCTCCCCACGAGACGTCGTCGAGCGACGACCACTCAGAGTATTTCTCCATCGTCGACGAGGATGAAGAGGACGTCGTGGAGGATCCATCGCGGACGCTTCCACCATCTCCACCACTCAACCGCACAGCGATATCGAGGTACGGTTTCGCGTGCAGGGTGACGGATGGGCAACAAGTTGTTCAGTGTGTGTGACTAATGTGGACCTCGCCCACACTTGTGATATGCCAGTGTGGTGGTTCTCATCAAATGGCTAGCTTCAAGGAATGAATGTGTTGCCTCATAGAAGCAAGTGATCAGTTATTAATTGTTGGACTTACTCTGAAGTATACACACTTAAAGGTTGGAACAAGGGTTATACAGACTTAAGTGAAGTACGAAACGTTGTCACCCATTGTACTGTAATTATATATTAATGAACCAAGACACAAGAAACTTAGCAATGCACAGCGCTATGTTCTAGAGTGCTATGGATTGTTATCTGTAGTTCTGCGTTTTGTCAGAGCTGATGTGTCAACAGTATTTCTCCATCCATGATGTGCATGGCGTGTGCTTTCATGATGTGCAGGGTGAAAGAGCGAGCCCGGTCCCGGTCCAACTCGCGGTCTCGGCAGAGTCGGCGGCTCCGGTCGCCGCAGTCGACTCAGGGAGGCGAGCCAGCCGGTACTGGTTTATTGCAGGAACCGGAAGAGACGGCTCACAGTGACCGTTCGAGCAGCTGGGACCCCACTTTGGTTAGTGGCACATTTTATCGAGGGCAATTAACAACTCTGCGAACAGATTATCCTTTCCGAAACACAGAGTTACTAGAGGCAATGGACAGTAACTGTAATGGCAGCTATGATGCAGTGCGTAATCAAAGCATTGAAAATGTGTTCTTCAAAATTCTACCAACCTGGGTGTTGGTTCCAAGGGTATCAGGGTGTAAGGACTGACACCCTGTTTCTTCTAGGACCAACTCTTGGTTCGGTTCCCGGACCAGGACAAATTTTTCGATTAAGAAGGTTTCCTTTTTGAGAAGTCTGTATCTGCAATTAAACCTTATACCGAGCCTCCATATAACAAACACCTCGATGTAACAAAATTTTTCTATTCCTCATCGTTACTCCATAGCAGCACATGTATTTGCGACCTCTATGTAACAAAGCAACAGCGGGAGACATCTTTTATATAATGAATTTGTCATTTTGGCACGACCATGCACGTGCTGCGGTTGCCCCGCCGTCGGCGGAGCGCATGGCGTGCTCGTTCTTGCCGCACACGGAATAATCTGTCCTCTTCCTTCCCCTCCAAACCGAGAACATAAAAAGCAAACTACTTTTACGTTGGCAGTGCCATGCCTTTAGTTAGCCTCACATATGTATGTGGGGCACATATAGAAGGCACATTACTGAATAGTTTATCGAGGTATCCGTGTAGTTCGCTCGTTGTTGACGCCATGCGTGCATGTACGGTTTCACTGCAAATGAATGGTGTGTGTGACCCCTGACGACATTAAGCTTTTCTTTTCTTTATTTTCTTTTTGTAAGTGCGGACAGCCGTGTCGTCAGATTAGGCGACGACGATTAGGAGATGTCAGATTAGGCGCTGACCATAATAACAACGACGGATTTTCAGATCGACTCGTGACACGCTTCCATTTTGCGCCACGCGGCATAGTTGGCGGGACCGTAGCTTTGGCGATTAGCCAGTTAGCTATGACAACAATGCGACGGCGCGTGGAATGCAGTGGAATGAATGCGATAGCAACATCTTGTTTTGTTATACGAATGAAGTTAGGGTGGCAGTCAACTTTTTTTAAATCCGATGTGGAACTCCTACAAAACACTAGGTGTAACGAAATACAGGTGGCTCCAGGGATAAGTGCTCTTTTGACACAGTCTCTAGCTGAGCTAGCACGTGCGCCAGCATTCGCAACCTGAAGGTCAAAGTTCAGCAGCGTTGCAACTCGAGCGACCCCACTTTCTCAGCGCGTTTTTTCATGCTTACAAGCGGTTCCCTGTCTCTATGAGCATTGAAGGGCAGTTCTAATGCGCAGAGGGTATTATCATATGTGCCCTCCATGTGATAGAGATGGGCTGGCTCATTTCATTTCTGCTTCAGCAGTGTTCGGGCGCTTTTACCCGCTTGTATATTATCAATGTGGACTTGCTACGGAACATGGGGACGATGGCAAAAACCCACTCAGTGTCCATTTAATTGCTATCGCAATCTGCAGTGCAGTTTTTTTTTACCTCTAAATAAATGTTTTGGGTTATATCTGCCTTCAGTCCTCCATTGGCTTAATGTGTGCAGTGTTTTTTGGAATTTTTTTACCGAACCTGCATATATCGAAATCTTCTATAACTAAGTTTTCCAGAAATTTATCAATTTTATTACATACAGGCTTAACCGTATTCTCTCATGGCTTCGTGCTACAAAAGGGTGGTTGTCAATGGTCTCTTTCATAGTGTGTAGCCAAGAGAACACATTGGAAATAGTTAGGAATGGCAATTTATGCATAAAATGATGACAGCTATCACTGAAAAAAAAAAAACGTACAAGTATCTGTGTCAACATACATGTGACTCTCACCTATTGAAATTAAGCAAATCATCACAAGATGTTACCAACAGCTTTGCTACAGCCCCAATGAAGTTCACAGCTGTCATAATCAGCAATGACCCTCCTACAGTTGACCCCATGGCTGCAGTAATCTGCAATTGTAAAGATGAGTTTAAGCGAACGAATACTTTTCAACACATCTGCACTGACAAAAACCTGCGAATGTTGCTTGTCGATTTATCGTAAAGTTGTGGTGGAGTTCACGCCAATCCTGTGCCTTGTGTTTTTCGTTTTTTCAGGGCATGGACGTTGTGGATTCGAAGCCTCCCCTCGACACGAGTCGTTCCACAACGCCGTCAAAGACTGATGCAACTACCTCCACAAGCGTTACTCTGACGGACGCAACGCCAGCCTCTGCACGAAGGCCTCCTGTAGCACGAAATTCTCGCCGGTCATCATCATTGCGGGAGCTGCGGACGAAAAAGTTGGAGTCCCGGTGTTCCGAACTGGAAGACCAGCTGAGGGCACGTGACCGTGAACTTGGACAGCTGAGGAGTGCCCCACATGGTGCGTCGAGCTTTCTTCTGAGAGGCTTGCCAAATGATGAAGTGCTGACGCGCTCTCTGGAAAACCTAGAGACATTCTTGACCTCCAGCATCGGGAAATTGAGCCGGCTAAAAGAGCAGCTGCGGAAGAGTGCGGAAGAAGGGGCGACTGGAGGCGAGAGCCTGAGAAACATCTGGGGAGAGCTGGAAAGCCTCATTTCCGAGAACAGCCGACGGGTCGAAGCAACGACACGGGCTCTGCGAAACTCGGCTACCCTGGAAGTGGAGGGGAAGTTAGCACGTGCTGCAGAGGAGGCGTGGGTGCTTCGACGCGAGCTGAAAAGATCGCAGGATGCCTTTGACGACCTCGAGCTTCGATGCCTCGCGCTCAAGCGGGACGCCAAGAACACCGAGGAGCTACACGCTTCACAGCTGGCACTGATGACGGCTCGCATTGATGACCTCACAGCAAAGCTCGCCTTGTCGGAGAAAGCACAGCGCCAGCTGCGACAGCGACTGGCACGTGCAGACTCCAAACAAGAGAAGCGACGACTCTCACTGAAGGGCAAGGAAGCCGCTGCAGCAGCTGCAGCGGCCGCTGCGAGTCCTTCAAAGGAGCTGGAGGTGAAGCTGACCCATTTGGAACACAAGCTCGCACTTCTGGAAGAAGCTTTCCAGGGTCCCGTCAACGAGGCTGCGTCCGACGCCTCTGCTCCGGATGACCTCAATGCCAACACGCCCACAGGACGGAGGTCATCCCTGGACAGCCTCTCTGGTGACCAACAGAGCCTGCTGCTCCGTGTTCAGCTTATGGATCAGAGACTTCAGTCGGCCCTGGACCAGCCGAAGCCCCTGGCACGACCTAGGATATGCCTCCAGACGGAAGCTCTTGATGGAGGTGGGGCCGGTGATGGATGGAGTAGCTTGTCTCTGGCAACGAGCGTGACAGATCTGCGGCTTCCCGAACACGGCGGCGAGTCACCGCCGGCAAGCTACCGGGAATGTCTAGATTCATTAGATGCGAGGCTTGATTCACTCTTGGAATGGTTACACGAGGCTCTCACCTCGCTCCGCGAGTCAGGCGTGATGGGTTCCTTTCCCAAGCATCTCGTAGGACCGCATAGGTGCTAGAGACGCAATGTCAGAAGATGGCAACAAAGACCGCTTGGCGAGGAACCTGTTACTGTTGAAAGACGTCGGCTCAAAGCTTACAGCGGCGGCAGGTTTTCAGATTCACTTCTTTGGTAACTTGGCCACGCACCTCAGAGAGACGTCCCTCATCCTCTTCTCCCTCGAGGAGAGGTTCGATCAAGTGGCGTGCTCGCATGACTTCAGGCTAGTCACTTCCGGAAGTAATAAGTCTTGGGACCCATTGGGAGAGGCCACGGGTCAGTGCCAGCTCACGGAACTAGAAAGCTCGCACTCGGGCAGCGAGGCTGTCACAACTGAGGTCGAGGAGCTTGCATCACGCCTCAAGTCACTGGGCAGCGCGGCGGAGCGCTTCAACAAGAGCCGCCGAGTCCTGGTTGTCCAGAGGCTCTCCGAGTGCCTGGATATCCATCCGACGTCTGACTTGGAGCCAGACGCACTCCAGAACGTGGCGGAGCAAGAGGCCGTCCTGGGTGCAGTCATGGAGGCGCTGTCGGCAGCAAGGGCTCATGTCAGTGACACCCTCTGCCAGAGCCTCTGCTCGTACTCGGGGACTGTTTCGGTGTCATCAGCAGACGCAGTGTCATTACTGCGGCAGCTTGAGGGCGCTGTCAGGCAAGAATTTCTGAAGGTGCGCGGAGAACTGCGAGCTTCATGCCTGGCTGAGCTGGAGAGTTACTGCTCCGCGAACCTTCCGCGCGATGTCTTGGACAAAGAGCTGGTTCCTGTGGTACGCGACCTTGCCACTGCCAACTGTGTTTCAGCCGTCCTGAGAGCATACGTGTCTCACGTCGAAGAGGTGGTTCGGCAGTGTGCGAGGGCACTGTGCCGTGACGAGCAGGCAGCAGCAGCACCTTTGCCATCCGCAGATGACTGCAGAAACAGAGAAGACAGTGCAGGAGCTGTGCGACAGGGCTGCTGCCACGGCAGAAGGTGCGCCACATCTGCTGCGCAGCTGGCTGACACGGTGCCTCACCGAAGACGACTCGCACGAAGACGAACTGAGTGCAGGTGTGGCCTGTGTCAACTCAACAGCGGATGTTGCGGACGCGCTGGAGCGGCTCAGTGTGAGACTGCACGAAGAACGGGAGGGTCACCGGCAGCGAGTGCTTGCACTTCAAGACCGCCTGGACGCTACACAGCGGGACTGTGAACGGCTCCTAAAGGTTGGTGCTCATAGTGTAAGAGATTTATAGTGAAAAATTTGCTGGTAGAAGTTATTCACTGGAGTTTATTTGTTTATTAATTAATTTACGTATTCCTTTCTATTATCATGCCAGTTAGCATACAGTATAAAATAATGTATCAAGGATTGCATTCCAAGTGACATTTAATCTGAACTTTCTGTTTATTGACCACAAGCTCGGCCAAATAAACACTTTCATCAGAACATCCAGTCCTGCTTCCTTCGTTCATGTCACGACCCCGGGACAATATTGGCATTTTCAATATTATAAAAAGCAGATGGAATAGGTTTTCCGAACATTGGTCATCATGTGAGGTTCCTTTACCTCCTTATGGGCCGAGCACTTGTGGCCGCCACCACGATTAGTAGTTCTGGCAATACATTGCCGGTTCTAGTCGAAGAGGCCGCAAGGCATTTTTTGCACTTCACCTATTTGTCGACAGATGCTGCTAACAACATTCAAGCTGTCGCACATGAGCATTGCATCATATATCTTCTGAAGGTGGTGCCACTGCTCTGCTCAGTACAAACGAATGCACTTTGCAGTCGTTAAACTAGAAAAGATTATATTAAAAACCATGATGGATTTCAAAGCTAATATAGAGACTACAATGTACGCCAGTCTTCTTAACAATAGCCTGCTGTGGTTAAAGGTCTCAAAAGTTTTAAACAGTGGGGCGTTTCTTCTTTTTCAACAGTCCGGTTGCGCCACCTGCCGAGGCCTGAGAGAGCAGACGAAGGCATTGGCGCAGCGGGCAACTGAGCTGGAACGCGTGGCTCGGGACGGAACCCTGTGTGAGCGCTGCCCGGCACAGCAGGAGCAGCTCCGGCGCCTCGCCACGGAGCACTCCCGTGAGCTTGCCGAGCACGAGGCGTCTGCACGAGAGGAGCTTGAGGGCCACATTCGCTGCCAGGTCGGTCATCCCACAGACTCGGCTGTTCGAGATGTGCGTTTCTGGCACCTTCACGATTGATGCAATGTGTAACACTGTGCACTATGCAATGTGTACTCTAGTGTAGCACTATGTACTCCTTGTTATTGTTTGCTCTTCAATCCGTTTTCTGTGCAGCATTTGAACAAGCAAACTCGAGTCTTAGTGCTTGAAGCACTGCTCCCTCCAGAGCTGCGGCACTCTGCCTTCCGTTTGACATTTGGATAGTTTTTGTAACATGCAGTCTTCACATAATTTTTAGACACATAGACCACTTCGTACAAGGTCGCAGATATCCTAGTTGACATTAAGCGAACGAAATGGACCTGGGCTGGCCACGTGATGTGTAGGACGGACAACTGGTGGACAGTAAGGTCAACATAATATTTACCAAAAAACGGGAAACGCAGTAAATGTAGCCAGAGTTCGATGGAGTGACAACAATCCCGTAGCCAAAAGGAAATGTCCTAGCCCCCCTTCTACTCCCAAAATTTAAATGGAGAGGGGTGTTTTACAGAGATTAGATAAAGAAAATACAGGTGTTTTTTGAGGCCTTCATCAAGTGGGTAACCTGCCCCCTCCCCCAAATGAATTTTTTTTTTTGCTAGGGGCCAGAGTGACAAAATAAAGAAGTTCGCAGAGATGAAATGGAATCAGCTTATGATGGATAGTGCAAACTGCACATCATTAGGAGAGACCTTTGTTTTGCAGTGGACTATAACAGGCCGAGAATGATGTCGATTATTATTAGTGGGCCACTTTACATGACTCAATGTTCCCCACATCTGGAGACGGCCTTTCAAAAAATATATTGAAAGATAATAAATGAGCATCAATCGTGAGCTTTGGAGAATCCGCGTCAGGATCTAAATGTGTGGAAGACTTAGGTTAGTGCTGTATCTATCATCGTCACCATGTTTCGTACATTGCACTGATTTATTCCTATGGTATATGTGTTTAGGTTTGTGCGTCTTTTTGTGTTCTTGCGTGCATCTGCACATTTGCGTTGCTCACATTTCAGGAAGCCAACCACCAACGAGAAGTGCAGCGGCTAGAGGCAGAGCTGAAGGCGGCGAAGAACCAGCTACAGCGTCTTCAGGTGGGTGAATGACTGGATATTTTGATGTTTTGAAGGTGCCCTGCGACACCTTTCTAAGTAGCCATGGAATGACTTCACGAAAGGAGCTTATTGCCTCACGAATTGACCGCTACAAAAATTTTTAGAATCCGTCCGGTACCAGCAGAGTTACAAAGACTTGTGGCACACTGCAGTTGCTTTCTCTCGTGTCGACGAATGCGCTGGAGGCTAAGCAGGGTGGGATGGCATGGAGAAAGAAAATATGTCCGGCGCACCTCGTGACCTTGAGCACTTTTTCCTCTTTTCTTTTTCTTCGAATATGCCGCTTTTCAGTGCGATTGCGCGTGCAGCTGCGGTCACATCGCTGCCTCCCGTGGTGGTCCCAGTAACTCCCGAGCGCGCCACGCTCAAATAAGCTAACGGCATGATGATTGCGCCTATGACGTAGTGATTTTTAAGTGCATAGCATCATTCGATGAGAGAAAAGAAGGCCTTTTTAGCTGACTGAGAACTTATTCTAAATTTCAGGCCGCGTGCTGTGCTAGAATATTTGGCTTGCATGTTCACGGGAGCCTCGACTAGGGAAGCGGAAGCATTGTCGCACCATGCTCAAAAAGTGTTGCGGACCCCTTTGAGGAAAATATTTAATAGGACACCTATTCCGGTCCCAACCGAAAAAAAAAAAAAAAAAAAAATCCGCGTGTTGACGAAACTGCATTAAGAGGCCTGGGGTGCGGCCTCACCGGTAACCACCGCCGGGAACGCACTCCCTCACCAGAGAAGGATTGGCCACCCTGGTGCAGTATCTGGCCACTACCTCCCACATGCATACGTCAAATAACTCACGGCCCTCAGTTCCCAGCAGCTGCGAAGCAACTGACCATGGCGGCGGTCATATCTGCAACCCAGCAGAGGGTGCTAAGAATCTCTGGACTACAGGCCGCCATTGGAACCTCAACTTGGCAACGTTTAACACTAGAACCTTATCTAGTGAGGGAAGTCTAGCTGTACTATTCGAGGAGCTAGAGGGTGTTAAATGGGATATAATAGGGCTCAGTGAGGTTAGGAGGACAGATGAGGCCTATACTGTGCTACAGAATGGGCACGTCCTTTGCTATCGGGGCTTGGCAGACAGAAGACAACTGGGAGTGGGGTTCCTAATTCACAGAAACATAGCTGGCAACATAGAGGAATACTATAGCATTAATAAAAGGGTGGTAGGGATTGTAATTAAACTGAATAAAAGATGCAAGGTGAAGGTAGTACAGGCTTACGCGCCTACATCCAGCCATGATGACGCTTCAGTTGAAAGCTTCTATGAAGACGTGGAATCGGCAATGAGTAAGGTAAAAACACAGTATACTATAGTGATGGGCGACTTTAATGCAAAGGTAGGGAAGAAGCAGGCTGGAGACCAGGCAGTAGGAGATTATGGCATCGGCACTAGAAACGCCAGAGGAGAGCTACTAGTAGAATTCGCAGAACGCAATAATTTGCGGATTTTGAATACCTTCTACCGAAAACGAGAAAACCGCAAGTGGACATGGAGGACCCCTAATGGCAAAAATAAGAACGAAATAGACTTTATAATGACTGCACACCCAGGAATCGTGCAGGATGTGGAAGTGGTTGGCAAGGTACGATGCAGTGACCATAGAATGGTACAATCTCGAATTCGCCTAGACTTGAAGAAGGAACGACAGAAACTGGTACGCAAGAAGCCAATCAATGAGCTAGCACTGAGAGGGAAAGTACAGGAATTCAGAGTGTCGCTGCAGAACAGGTACTTGGCTCTTAGTGAGGAAACCAACCTTAGCGTACATACACTGAATGATAATCTGACGAGTATCATTACGGAGTGTGCAGTGGAAGTTGGAGGCAGGGTAGTTAGACAGGACACTGGCAAGCTTTCCCAGGAAACGAAGAACCTAATTAAGAAGCGTCAAATCATGAAAGTGTCAAGTACAACAGACGAAATAGAACTGGCAGAGCTTTCGAAGTTGATTAATGGACGTAAAGTATGCGATGTAAGAAGGTATAACATGGAGAGAATTGAACACGCTCTGAAAAACGGAGGAAGCGTCAAAGCAGTGAAAAGGAAACTTGGGATAGGCAAAAGTCGGATGTATGCACTAAGGGACAAAGAAGGCAAAATAACTACCAATATGGATAGGATAGTTAAAATAGCGGAGGAGTTTTACAGAGATCTGTACAGTAGCCGAGACAACCACGACCTTAATACTATAAGAACTAGCAGTAACCCAGATGACACCCCACCAGTAATGATAGAAGAAGTCAGAAAAGTTTTGGAGAGCATGCAAAGAGGCAAAGCTGCTGGTGAGGATCAGGTAACATCAGACCTGCTGAAAGATGTAGGACAGATTGTGTTAGAAAAACTAGCCACCCTGTTTACGAGGTGTCTCCTGACGGGAAGAGTACCAGAGTCTTGGAAGAACGCTAACATCATCTTAATACATAAGAAAGGAGATGACAAGGACTTGAAGAATTACAGGCCGATCAGCTTGCTCTCTGTAGTATACAAGCTATATACAAAGGTAATTGCTAACAGAGTAAAGAAAACATTAGAATTCAATCAACCAAAGGAACAAGCGGCATTTCGAACAGGCTACTCAACAATTGACCACAGTAATACTATCAATCAGGTAATAGAGAAATGCTCAGAATATAACCAACCACTATACATAGCCTTCATAGATTACGAGAAGGCGTTTGATTCAGTAGAAATATCAGCCGTCATGCAGACACTGCGGAATCAGGGCATAGATGAAGTATATATAAACATTCTGGAAGAAATCTACAGGGGATCAACTGCTACCATAGTGCTTCATAAAGAAAGCAACAGAATACCAATCAAGAAGGGTGTAAGGCAGGGGGACACAATCTCCCCAATGCTATTTACCGCGTGCTTACAGGAGGTTTTCAGAAGCCTAGAATGGGAACAGTTAGGGATAAGAGTTAATGGAGAATACCTTAGTAACCTGCGCTTCGCCGATGACATTGCATTGCTGAGTAACTCAGGGGACGAATTGCAACTCATGATTACGGAGTTAGACAAGGAGAGCAGAAAGGTGGGTCTTAAAATTAATCTGCAGAAAACGAAAGTAATGTACAACAACCTCGGAAAGGAGCAGCGCTTCGAGATAGGTAATAGTGCACTTGAAGTTGTAAAAGACTATGTCTACTTAGGGCAGGTAATAACCGCAGAGCCTAACCACGAGATTGAAGTAACTAGAAGAATAAGATGGGGTGGAGCACATTCGGCAAGCACTCTCAAATTATGACAGGTAGATTGCCACTATCCCTCAAGAGGAAGGTATATAACAGCTGTATCTTGCCGGTACTTAGCTATGGAGCAGAAACCTGGAGACTTACAAAGAGGGTTCAGCTTAAATTGAGGACGACGCAGCGAGCAATGGAAAGAAAAATGGTTGGTGTAACCTTAAGAGACAAGAAGAGAGCAGAGTGGATTAGGGGACAAACGGGGGTTAAGGATATCATAGTTGAAATTAAGAAGAGGAAATGGACATGGGCTAGGCATGTAGCGCGTACACAGGATAACCGCTGGTCATTAAGGGTAGCTAACTGGATTCCCAGAAAAGGCAAGCAGGTTAGGGGGAGAGAGAAGGTTAGGTGGGCAGACGAGATTAAGAAGTTTGTGGGTATAAATTGGTAGCAGCAAGCACAGGACCGGGTTAACTGGCGGAACATGGGAGAGGCCTTTGTCCTGCAGTGGACGTAGTCAGGCTGATGATGATGATGATGATGATTGAATAGGAACACTAAATCAGTTCGTGTACAAACATGTTGTTTTAGATATTTTATTTTTGTTTATCTCAACATTATTGTATTGATGAGACAGTTCTTGTAACATTCAAACCTCAGTAAGATAACAAAAAAAGGACATGATGAAAAGCTCTTAAGCAGGTGGTGTATGCTCAAGCTGGCATTTCTACAAGTGGACTTGTATTCTTGGCCGCCTTGAGAAATACTAGTCTGTTTGTCAAAATGGCTCCAGCGTACACCGCCATTTATGAAATTTTTATCGCAAGCTTTCATCTTTCCCTTCCTGCCTTTTCTTTAAGAAGGGATATGGCTTGTCTTTTGTGTCCTTGTCTGCACAACCTGTTTGTTATTTTTTCTTTAAGATGAGCCTTACCGGCTAAGATGTAAGGGCCTGTGGACACACTACCTGCACAGCTGCACCGCATGTGTCAGGACATCTGCCACACGCAAGCAAAAGAGCGTATTGACGACATGCTCCCGCCCTCTACTTGAATGCGGCAGGTGTCCCAGCACGTGCAGTGTGGCTGTGCGGATGGCGCATGTACAGGGCCGAAGCAGTCTGTGCTGGTCATTTAATTTTGAGTGACCTTTGACCTTTCGTTGAACCAGGAGGAGCAGGAGGAGCGAATCGGCAGCCTACGGGAACTGTACCAGCAGAAGCTGTCCCAGGGGTTGGAGGTCGTGGACGCCGAGGCCGTGCGGCAGCGCTGTCGGCCAGAGATGGAACAGCTCAAGGTATTGCCACACGTTGATGTCATACATTGGCTTCAAAACTTCATGGGACCCGGGCTTGCCACCTCGTGCTAATTTATGTCACGTGTTAAAGGGTCGCAACATAGACTGAAAAAACTGCAAGAGATTGAAAATCTTAAAATACATGACCGGCACTCGGGGATGAAAAACGAAACTTCTCTATGCTGCCATCGCTTTGCATGAAACTGTGGGCACTGTCAATGCATTCATATATGCTGATGATGAAGCTCAAAGTACACGTGCATCCAATGCTCACAGAGTCAAAGCAATGCTACTTGCTGCAATTGCTGCAGCCCAAACACTTGTGGATGCAATCACAGCAACGAAGCAGTTCTAAGGCATGCGGGTCCAAAACAGCCCTACCGTTTACCGTAATCGATGTGCATGAAATAGCTGTCCTATTACTATCGACGTGATCGTCAGTAGCGACCATGCAGCTCCGAAGCTGTGTGGCTAACGAATCGGTGAATGAAAGGTAGTAAATTTGTGGAAAGGCACGAAGCGTTTTGCCGTTCCCGTCGTTCACTTGTGACGGACTTCGGCTCTTATTCTTCTGTTGGCCTCTCACAGAGCATTAGGGCGCGCTTGTTCAAGGCAACCAGCTGCTCAGCCATTCCTGAGTTGACCATTCATATGTGTCCCGGAAAGGCATGCGTGCAACAGTTCTTGCTACAGAAATGAATGTTTTCTGCATACACTCAAACCTAATTACAACAAAGTTGCATTTTACACAAAAGTAAGTTCATTATATCCTAAAAAAGTTATGAAAATATATTTCTTACGCTGTATTTATTGCCAGACTATTTGTCACTTATTTCGTTAGAACCAATATTATGTTATACCCGGGTTCATTATGTCGAGGTTTGAGTGTATGTTGTAGCGTGAAAATGGATTTTCCCAGTTTTTTGGTGATACAAACTTTCAGGTGATTTGAATATTATCGCTCCCTGTTGAGATTGGTATTACCAAGACTTTTTTGTAGTTGGTCAGGTATGCTCATTGCTGGCCCCTGTTTGTCTAATAGAAGGGCTCGTGGCTTAACGTGTGAACACTCCTTTGACCATGGCCTTTTGAGCACGTACCGATTTACACTACCCGCTCCTTCTTGTCATTGTTTGTCTGCACGTGCAGCGCCTTTGTGAGAAAGGTTTGGCGGCACTGGAGGCCTCGCACGGCCGGCTCGTGGCCCAGCTCCAGGAGCGGCACCAGGCCGAGATCGAGCGTCTGCGTGCCGAGCGAGACCGCGCGCTGGCCGAGGAGACCAAGGCGACTCTGGCCGGTGAGTCTCCACGCACTGGTAGGCAAGCCGGTAGGTTCCTGCACGGCCAGCAGGAACTGAGATGACGCCATGGGGCGTTATATTCGTAAAATAGTATAGTTGTTAAGGGAAACCTGAAGGGACTGGACAAATGTGTTTCATTTAACAGGAGTTTCGTTTACCAAAAAGTGGCCAAGGGTGCGCAATACAAAAACGAAATCAATATTGTCAGAAGCTGTTGTTCAAATCGAGCAGCAGTTTCGTTTAACAAATTTTCGTTTGCTGACCGTCTACTGTGGAACCTCGGTGACACTAATCTTTGAGGATTTTCTCGGTGGGCTGCTATATTGTTCAGAGTATGTTCGGACCGAGACGGACAGTTATGTAAATGCACACACCAATCGCTGACAGTTTGTCGTCGGTCTCCTGAGCTGCACATGCCATGAAGGTGCGAAATCAGCCCCACAACTGGCGGTGCTGTCTGCGATTGTTATATTTTCGGGTGGCTACACCTCCCCGATGCAAATTACCATGACATAGCGTGCGTTCGAGGCATTTCTTTCGCGGTTACTGCAGTGTCGACGCTGACACTATCTTTTCTTCGTTGCAGCTCTCAACGCAATGCAGAGAGCTCATCAAGAGGAGCTACACCGGGAGATCTCCAACTTCAAGGAGGACTACGCGCAGCAGATGCGCCACGGACGGGACGCGGAATGCCTCCAGAGGGAGCACCAGTGCGTTAATGTCCGAACATTCCTCGTGCCTACATTGTCCCCTTTTTTTATCGTGTGCACAGGCCGAATTCTGCGACGATCACTTTTTTGGGGATAAATTTTGATATAACGAAATTGATAAAATGGGCTACACTCAAACCTTATTATACCAAAGTCACATCTGCCATGGAAATACTTCGTTATATCTAGAAATTCGTTATGGACATATACTCGTTAGACTGCATCCATGACAAGACAATTATTCAATTAGTCTGTTATTATATCATTATATCAGAGTTCATTATATCAGAGTATAATTAGTGCATTTGCTTCATTACATTGAAGTTTCTTCAGATTGAAATTTGACCCTTTTTAAAGCCAAGTGCGGTTGCTCAATGCTTCCTCTTTTTGCACAGGAAGTGCTGGAAGAACGTTACTGTTTACTGTCCCTTTCTCGTGGTTGCAGGGAAGAGCGCGAGCACATCAAGCAAGAGATCCTGTCCCTGTCCGAGAAGTATTCGCTCAAGTGCCTTGAGAAGGCGTCGCTCGAGGAGCGGCTGCAGCGAGCCGGACAGCAGCTGCAGGAGGCCAACTACCAGGTGAGAGCCTGTCATGTTCACCTGTTTGCATACACATGTTTACAAGCCCACATGTTTACAAGTTACATCTCCCATACATTGCTTGGCTTCATTATCTGCTGCTTTTCATGTAGCTCAAGTGTAACGAAGTGAACATTGTCTGGCTGCTTTTGCATTGTAACAAATGTGTGGGTACAACTGCTCGAACCTCCATATAACAAACTCGGATATGACGAAGTGTTGGTTATAACGAAATCAATGAAGAATAGTCTTGCAATAGCTATAATGTTTGAACATATCTTTATAATGAATTTTCGGATATAACGAACATATTTTTGTGGGAGATGCAACTTTGTTATAAGGAGGTTTGAGCAGTTCTATACGTAATGAAGCAACTTGCTTGTGATGAAGTTCGACCGCAGAAGCGAGCACGACTTGCATCTGGAGAAGTCAGTTGATGGCGTCCCCGCCTTGTTTTGCTCGTGGCAGGTGCTGGACTTGCTGGCCAGGAACAAGCAGTTGGCATCGCACTTGGGCCTCCAGATCCTCCAGCGAGAGCAGGCGGTCACTTCGGACAACTCGGCCGAGGCGCTCGAGGTAATGCGAGCACCGTACTCATCTGTGAAAATTTGGACGAAGGAAAAAAAATGTCGGGCTCTACCCACAGCAGTTCCTTTCCGTGCCATAGGGGAATGGTATAGATGCTCTCTTCCAATATTGGCTACAGTCGAACACTTTTATAAGAGGCACTAATATAAGAGACAAATGGGTGCAAGGGACACCAGCGTGCCCACAGTAAAATACAGGGCGTTAAGTGTGGTATCCGCTGCCATGCCCTGCCGAACTACGTCGGGGAGCCGCAGGGTCGCGAAGTAACCACACCGACCCAGTACCTCAAACAACTCTGTTTATTCTTAGTCCGTGATGGTGAATATACCCAGATGTTAGCTGACAGGATAAGGCGCGTGCGCGTGCATCTGCGCATGCCTAGGGCTATCAGATGATAACGCACATGCTGAATACAACAGTAAGCAACACGAGAATGACGAAGCTGTCTTTGCTACTGTGTGGGAACAACTTTTGGCGATTACAAATACAGTCGCCATCAATCATTTTGTTACAAAATCTCATTGCAGCTGTACTCGTCGACGATAGCAATGGGTTAATAAGTGTACTACTTATATTACCTAAAAAATGTATATATAAAGTTCAAGCCAAAACCAACTACACTCAGACCTCACTATAACCAAATTGCACCTTACATGAAAATAAGTTCTTTACATACGAAAATTTGTTTTGAAAGATATATTCCTAACGCTATCTATTGCAAGGCCATTCTTCATTTACTTCGTTATAACCGGTATTTCGTTACATCTGGTTTGGTTAAATCGAGCTTCGAGTGCAGCACGACTGCCTTTCATGGCTGAAGGGCAAGTGTGCCACGGTTCTGTGGGCGGAGCTGGCATTTTCTTGTTGGGTTGTAATAGAGCGCAGTTCTTTGACGCCGATGTGCGACTAACTCACTTTTGGCTCATTGTGTTCTCTTCTTCTTTTTTTTTTTTTGCAGAAGTTGCTGCAGCTGCGGGACAGCCAGCTCGTGCAGCAACGCGAGGAAAATGCACAGATTTTGCACTCCCTGCAGCTCGCCAAGACGGTCAGTGCAGGGTTTTAGGTTCGATTTGCCGTCTTGAAGCGAACATTCACTTGCTTTCAAGTTTTATTTATGGGGATACTAAAGAGAGGAAAGATTTCTCTCGTATTAGTGAATGACGATTTTGCAACACCACAAGCACTCCACTTACTGCGAGAGCAGTCTTGGCAAGCGTCTTGGCAAGGAAAATACAGCTGGCATCGCTGCCAGCTTTGCGTTTTATCACCAGCTTGCCCTGATGTATTTTTTGACGACGTTTACATGGACCTTCGTAATGTTTTGTTATTACAAAAGATTTGCATTGTGTTTTTGAGAAACATTGTGTTTTAATCATACTAGCATGTTTCAGAAACTTTTATCGAACCCATACGTTTGTAGCGGATGCTACGTTTCTGGTTGAACTCCCTGCCTTTTTCTCAATTTATCTTCTCTCTTCTATCTGGTTCTCATTAAGGTTGTGTTAGACAAGGAAATGAACTCTCCGAAATTCCCTTCATTAAAAAACTCATGAGCGAAGTGCAGTCACCAGATGAAGCTCGTCTGTCTGACTTGCTCTTTTTCGTTTCGTTTGTTGTGCAGAAGATAAACCAGCTGAACAGCCAGTGCCAGCAGCTGAGCAGCAGCCTGCGAGCGGAGCGCAGCGCCCACCAGGCTGAGGCACAGCGCCTGCAGTCCCGCCTCGATGGTCTGGTTGCCCCTTCCGGTGCGTTTCGCCTCTTCACTTGTAAGGCCTTCAGCCGAAATCTAAATACAGTGTATTCTCGGTAAACGGAGATCTGTTAAACGGAACTGCAGCTTAAAAATCGGGAACAGTTGCCTCCAGCATGAGCGGTTTCATACTTGTATTCTCCAACGTTGTTCGCCTCTTCGTGAACGAAACTTCTGTTGAACGGAACACTTTCCTGGCCTCTTCAGGTTTTGTCTAACGAGAGTCGACTGTATAATGAATTGTCAGTTACAATGAAATGAACGAAAAATGGTCTTGCCATTTGCACAGCATTGGGAATGGATGTTTTATATAGAACGTCCAACATAGAAAAAGCAGTTTCATATCTCATGCGACTATATTACGGTGGAGTTTGACCACATATCTATACACTGAAACCTCAATATAATGAATACCGATATAATGAAATATTCGTTATAGCGAAATAAATGAAAAATAGGCTTGCAATAGATACAGTAGTAAGAATGATTTTTATAACAAAGTTTTGCATATAACGAGTTTATTTTCTTGTAAGATGCAACTTTGTTATAGTGAGGTTTGAGTGTACGCACCGCCAGCACTTGCCATGCATCACAACTTAGCGCCTTGATCCTTTGTCTCTTCAAGACGTATTTTTAGGCTGGTTGGTTCGTGATAGCTGTAGCACACTGCCAGAAAACACAAGCGATGAAAAGACGTCGCTTGTGTTGTTTGGCACCGTTTCAGTGCTGTCATCTTTCTTGTGTTCCTGTATTTGATCCCTCAAAAAGTTACCTCTGGTGTTTGCTATTATTCACTACATCTGCCGTCCTTGCTTTGCTTCCTGCACCGGCTGTGTTTGCCGAGTTTTCACGTGTGCTGCCTATGCCCGCAGTGGTGGCTGTGACATTTTTCTGAAGAGAACAGTCGTGGGTTCTCACTGTGAGCCCTCGCAACCATAACACGGTGATGTGACAGCGCTTCATAAGACGTACACATGTCAGGGACAGATGACAGACACTGCCTGTTTGTTGCCTGTCTCTCGCATGTGTGCGTCTTTTGTAGTGCTAGAATCACCGTGCTATGTAATCACCCACTTGCCCAACAACAAGTTCTTTGCAACCAGTCGCCTGTTGAGGTGTTGCTGGATACTTTCACATTACCTGCTGTCGAGGTGTGTCAAAGACACCAGGAAGCCGTAGAGAAGTTGAGACGAATTTCCCTTGAAATGATGTTGAAATGAGTTGAGGTGATTTTCAGAGGAATCGCTGTTTGCGTGCAAGGCATTTCGTGGAGCAAGGCGGAAGCACAATAGAGCACATCTGTTATTTCAATAGTTGTTATTAGAGTGGATAGCCTGAATTTAGCTAACACTGGCAGACATCAGCTATTGATGGTAGTATGTGGGTAAAGGCTAGACTTCAAGCAAGGTCGTACATTTTTATTCTTCTTTTAACAGAAGAATAAAAATAACAACCAATAGCATAAACAATTATTTATGTTGCCTACATCATATATTTATATTGTAAACTTGATGTCCTACTTCATTACTTTTTTTTTTTGTAATTCCCAATTTGGGCTTGGTGAATATTTTTTGCCATATTGTACTGAACAACAGGTCAGACTGAAGTAGTCCCACTCACCTGCCTAAATAATGCCGGGCTTTAAAATTTGCTTAAAGGCAACCATTAGACCATTGTGTGTTCTTTGGGTTCGTTAGTGACACTATAATAAGAAATTGACCTGCATAAAATTAGATTAGAAAAGAGGTCCTCCGAGTTCATAATTGTGTGTGCAGATGACGGTGCGGCATCGCAGTCAGCGTTGCAGCAGTGTCGGCCCGTGCCGGAGCGCCGTTCCTCCCTGGTGATTCGTAAGCAGGCCCAGGCTCCGTTGGCCAAAGGTGAGTGTCACCCCAGGAATATATGGTTTATAGGCCTTTGCAAATAGTGAATTTTAGGTTCGAAACGAATTGGAAGCGAATAGTGATCTTGATCGAATAATTTGAAATCTAATTCAAACGTTATGTATGACATATAAAAGAAAGGGAATATTTATCATGACCTAACTAACCTGTGCAATATTTCTTTTGAATTGAAATAGGGGCTCTTTGCAAATGCCATTTATTTTTTTCGTTAAAAGGAAGTCGGAACAACCTTGAGTAGTAGTTTCGGCAGGATGCGAGTGATGACCTGTAAAATACTTAATGTTTTATTATCCTTAAATCATTTAAGCCAGCATAACAACCTTAATAATGTGAAGAATTGATTTGAGGGTAACATGTTCCTTTAAAGGGGCCCTGCAACGCTTTTTCAAGTAGCCATGGAGCCAGTAAACATGCTTGTTGCCTCACAAGTTTACCCCCGCAGTACGAGCGTAATTCGAAAAAATTTGTCGCTTGCTGCAATTGCAATCTCTATTCTCGTCCCGACGAAACAGCTGGAAGCTAAGCGGCACGGCGAAAAAAAATATGTCACGTGCATCTCGTGACCTTGAGCACCTGTTTTTTTTTTTTTTTTTCTTCGAATACGTGGCTTTTTAGTGCGATCGCGTATGTACTTGTGGACAAGCGGCGGCCTCCCCCGGCGGCCCCAGTAACGACGAGCGCGCCATGCTCAAATCAGCCGATAACTGTGACCAGATCCTTATATTCCTTCTTGGCTGTGACAAGTCATTTTGAGCTTGTAATGTCATTTGCCGAAGGAAGAAAGCAATTTTTAGCTTTGAAAGTTTATGGTGAATTGCAGGCTGTGTGCTGCACTATAATATTTGCCTCGCGTGTTCTAGGTAGCCTTGATTGCCGATCGGCAGCGTTTTCTGACCATGCTCAGCAAGTGTTGCAGGGCCCCTTTAAATTTGAAGGGGGGCTTCGCGGCAAAGTGAATTTTTTCTGATTAGGTGTTTTTACGGCTTAGCACTCCTACATTGCAGTGAAACCATCTTTACAGGTGGTTACATTCAGATTAACATACAATTATTCGTTCATTGCGAATACTTTGAAATTATTCAATAACTTAAATTCGAAGCGAATGCTCAACTATTCATTGAAATATTCGAAGCATTCGCATATTCGCACAAGCCTAGCGGTTAGGGCTTTTTCATCTCACTGATAAAGATGAATGAATGACCACCATTTTTCTATAATCTATGTTTAGTCATTACTTTTAAAAGAATGTCATTATAGAAAAGTTACACCCACCACGAAATACTTTGCTATAAATGTACATTTGTGGCACTGTATCTACTGCAAAACTATTTTTCAATTACTTTGCTATAACCTATAAATTCGTTATAGCTGTATTTGTTATAACGAGGTCTTAGTGTGCATATTTGGTAATTATAAGGCTTAATATTAAAAAAAAAGATGCTACCAAATTTGTCTAATTCTAGCATATACACAGTTTTCATGTGGGCTGAGAGTTTGTGGTGTGTTGCCTGTTTATGGCTACGTATCACCCAACTCCACGGGCACAATCATTAGCATGCCTTAGCGTTGCATACAAAACTTTCATGACACCACGTGCGTAAAAGCGCTGCGTCTCCTGCAGGCTGCATGCGCATAACTTGCACTCATGTCCACCATTCAGAGAGTGGCATTCTGACGGTTGCAGGTCCATTGTGGGCGGTAAATTCTCGGTACTTAAACTCGTCAATAATGTCCCTGTCATGCATTTGTACCTGGTCACTGTGCAGGCTATTCTTCAAGTTGTTCTGTGTTTACTTTCAGGTGACTCCCACAAGGGTTTCGGCCGTCCCGACGCGACGACCGGCACGCACAGCAGCTGAAGTGCTGCTACTGAGAATGGAATTACGGCCAATAGCTGTCCATTGTTTGCCTTCTACTTCCCTCTGTCTCTGCTGGTCAGAGAACAAAAGAAAAAAGTGACTGTACACAGCCCGACTTACACCTCACACACAGCCGTCAGCAATATGCCCAACCTCGATGTTGTTCTGTAGTCCCCTCCCTGCGCTTGACGATGTGCTGACACAAATTCGCGCCACGAACTTATCGACCGCGACATAAGCGACCCTGGTGCAAAATCCGGGTATTTAGTTCTTTTCTTGATATGGGATGTTTTTTTTTTACTTCGTTTCTCGTCATTATCGCCTAAGTGTTTCTCGTTTCCTCTGTCGTTTACACAGTCTCGTCTGCGTTTTGAAACGCGTGCGCCACCCGCTGCCGATTCACATGGGCAGTTCTCTAATGAACTTCGGTCTCCAGAACTTGTGACCGGTCGATGACTGTCAGTTGTGTTCATGACGGTGCTCTTTTAGTTAGTCTTCTTTTATTGAAAATGCGCGGTGTTGAGAAACTTGCCGTGCCACCTTGCAGCTACATTAGCAACTAACCAGGTAATGCAGAACACGCGTTTAAGATGGCACCTTGACTATCTCAACTGACAAAGTGCCTCGTTTTTTTGTACAAACCAGGCATCACAAGGCCAGGCTGCTTCATGTCTCTTTTGCTTTTTGTTTTTTTAAAGAAACAGCTTATTTTATGCCTTTTTGGAGCAGCTAAAAGGAAACTCAAAAGAAATATATACACTACTGAAAACACACCTACTCCACTGTAGATGCAAAGCCTTGTTTCCTTTTCTTTCCTTTAACCCTTGGCATTCAGGCACGTTACAAAGGGTTAGCTGGCAACAAAGCATATATGTCTACACACACAACCCAACACAAAGGATAGGTAGAAAGAAAAAGAGTTATAGAGAGAGTTTTATATATTATAAATATATTTTTACAGATGTTCCTTGTTAACAGAGCCAGTGACGGGGAGGAGTGAAAGGACGCGGATTGTGTGTACATAACAATGAAGAACGCGACATCGTCGTCGCCCCGAAAATGAATCGCGGGAGGAATAACGCCGAACTGTCGATGCGAGCGCGTGTTTTTTTGCGAAGGTCTGCTCACCCGAGACGAGGGCGCGTCCGCTTCGTAGTCCGCCGACTCTCGGTCAAGGGCGCGCCCCCAGGGTCTGGATGCATTGTTTCGCCGTCCATATAAGTTAGTATAGCGTAATAGTGAGCCTTAACATTTTTTTTTTATTTTCATAGAACGCGCGCGGTAGTCGTTTTCCGTTGCTACCAACACCGCTGCTAGATGGCGCTTTTCCGTCCGGGCAGCCGTACCGAGGCGCTTCATCGCCGAAACACCCGCGGCGCGCGCCGTATCTACTCAGGTCTCCTTCGGAAAAAAGTTTGAAGAAATAAAGGTAATGAAATACGCCTCGGTGGCTGCCTCAGGTTTTTTATGTGGTCTTTTTTTTTTGTAGATGTGCAATACTAAACAAGTCTTTTGTTTCTCGTGAAATACAATAAAGAAGATATAAATGTGTCTGCATCCTGACGAGTGTTGTGCTTTCTTTCGTCGAGCACGTGGATGGTCGCTTAAACGAGTTTTGACTCGTGATGTGAAAGAGACGAAAAAGGTGACACGGAATAGAGATTAGCAGAAGGGTCCCGTAATCTCTATTCTGTGTTGATGTATTTTTTACGCACTTACAGCACAAGGTTATTCCATAATCATACGGACAGCTCTTGGAAAAAAACTTTTTGCAGGTAGTATAAGTAAGCTTGCGACCAGTGGTGCAAGCACTTGAGGTGATGGTATCAAAGATAGCTTACTACATTGCAAAGCCACACGTGACAAAACGAGCATTTTCAATGGTGATTTGTGATAGCCACCAGGGAACTAGGCCGCCATGTTGAATGTTTTTAATGCTGTAGCCATCTCTTGCGCAGCATTGTGATATGACTGTAGTGACAGTTGTCACTGCCGTGATAGCGTCTTGAAGAGGCTATCATAGCTGTGAGCTACTAGAAGATTGAGCAGTCATGTTGAATGCTGTAAGGCTGAAGGTACCTCTCGCAATGTGCAGTTTCATTACTGTAACCAGCCTTGTCAGAAACAGCGATAGCCTTTGTGAAAGAGATGGCTATCATAGTAATAGCCATGAGATTATCGAGCAGTCATGTTTAAAGTTCTTAGACTTTAAGCTTCCCTTGAACAGTGTGGTTGTGTGACCAAACTGCGGTAGCTGCCAGAGTAGTGACAGCGTTTTCACAGATATCTGTCATTGCACTAATGGAGACTTTCCTATTGCATTAGGAATTCCACTTAAACGTCTTTTATTACCACATTTTGTCTCGCTTTTTGGATGGCATTTTTGCACCATATTCAGTCTTAGTACTTGTGCCCTCAAAATTGGTTCATTTGACACTCCATCGTACTCCGGAGACATCAGCCAGCATCAGAGCTTGAGATCAAAGCCTCCCACCTTCTTTTTTTTTTGTTGTACCACTATCCTGTACTTGAGTGGTCATGGTGCAATCAATGCACTGTGAACTTGCGAAGTTGAGCTTCGAATTGCCTTAAAATTCAATGCAGTATTTTGTGTTTACTGATGAAAAAATAACCTAGGCTTTTCAGATGCTGTCCAAATCTGCGACATCAAAGCAATCTGGCTGTGGAAAGCTTTTTAGCAGTGCTGCCAGCCATCTTTAGCTGTTCTTTTATCCTTCGCTGGCTTTGCAGGGGTCATCTCTATGAGTGAGGCTTCTTTTGGCATTGTTGGTGTGCTACTTGAGAGAAAGGTTATAATACTATCTTGTATTGGAGCGAATGACCTTTTGACATTGCCAAAACCTGCATAACACTTAACTAGCGAGAAAACACAGATATAGTTACAAGCAGCAACGTTACGTTCCTAGAACAACATAAGGTTTCCATGGCATCTGCATAATCGGTAAAAGCAGTTTACATTTAGTTCTAGGGGATACAGAGAACATAGCTAGTTACGGGAAACTATTGAGCCAGTGTGGTCAAAGCATGAAAAAGCCTATGAAATGCTTTGTCATGCCGACATTCAAATGCCAAGCTTTGGGCACCATATTCTGCAATCAAACTTCGTCCTCCGTTTTAGCTTCTAATAATAGGCCTGTGATAATGATATTAACCATAACAAAACTTTCAAACAATACTTCATCATTATAAAACTGGCATAGTGGTTTCACCTCTTAGTGTCTCTTTGACACTAAGAAGTGAAAGAGGTGACAGTCCGAAATTCCTCTTTCCATTGCTTGGATGAGCCTAATGAAGTTTAATGTTCCTATTCAGATTTTTTCTGGAGAATTTAAATCTCCACATAGGTTTTTAATAGGTGCATTATAACAAATGACACACAATTTCCATTAGCATATTTCTTGCGGGTCTTTCTGGAAACTTCATGCAACACAGAAACGAGGCCTGCGGCACGATTTCCAGGGCCGCTGGTCTAGCCGGTGATGCTCGTTTTCAACAAACTTGGGATTCAAAAGAAACAAATGCATTCATGAGTAAACAATTTCTTCCACATATTGTTTATGACTCTGGACAATTATATAATTGGGTAAACAACATTAAGGAATATAGAAAGCATTGCTGGCTACACCTGCCACACAATAGTGACACATTCTCTTTGGTGTTTGATGAGAAAGCGACGTTGATAAAAGCCCTGCAATACTGGTCAAACTGGCAAATTCAGTGTCATCTTGAGTGAGTGCATGTATTTACACTACCGGCGTGTCGCTTTGGTGGCGCTATGCCACCATAGCGAGGCGAACAGCTTTCCTTCTAGACCTTTTAACGGAGAGGAGGATCCCTTCCTTTTTGGGATGTTAAAACAGGACCACAAAAGCTGACGTCGGAGCTTCAGCTTTGCATTTTTGGGGGTTCATGCATGTTAGCAACAGCCCAGAGGGGCTTCTGTAAAAAGGTGTATAGTGGCGCCCTGACGCACAAGAAAGAGAAGTGTACTTGGAAGTGATAGTAACGGCAATGGCACTTATGGAAAGATGCTAGTAAAAAATGCAAGATTTTTCCAAAATTGTATATTTTTAGTTTCTATTTGCTTTCACAAGTTTTGTTTCTCTGCTTTTGGGACAAAGAATTGAACATTGTGATGAAACTGGAAACAGGTTAAAATCGCTTTGAAAGAACATGAGGTTGATACTAAAAACTAAAACAATTTCATTTTCTAGAGTCCCTTGAATATTGTCACCTGGTTGATCGCCATTGAATTTTACGTGAGCAGTGTTGCGCTGTATTTGGCTCGCATGTTCTCGGAAGCTTTGACTACTGATCGGCAGCATTTTTTGACCATGCTCGAACAGTGTGGCAGGGCTCCCTTAAATGTTTTTGGGTCGCCAAAGCCACGTGCTCAAAGTACCCATGAGTCCCTAGCTCTGATAATGGAAGAAATCATTTTGAGATTTGAAATCTACTGAAAATACTGAACGATCTTTATCAGATTTCATTCACGTCACCCCAACTACTGAAACGACAATTTTTAAGACCCTCATCTCCCCTCTAAGGGGAGACATCGCTTATAGATACCGGAAATATCAAAGAAAAAAAGATTATTTTTACTACATTACTGAGACCTAGTGCTGGTATTCTTTCACATTTAAGACTTCAACTGAAATTTTAAAAGATTAGTATTTCATTCGCAGTTTAAATCTGTGCAATAAGCACGAGCTCAATGTTAAAGGGGCGTTGCAACACTTTGCCAAGCAGCCATGAAATGGTTTCACTAATAAAGCTTATTATTGTCTCGCAAACTCACCGCCGCAAAAATTGCTCGAATCCTTCCAGTACGACTGGAGTTACAAAGATTTCTTGTACACTGCAGCTGCGTTCTCTCTTCTGTCGTCCCAACTAAAGCGGTGGAAGCTGAGCAGGGAGAGATGGCATGGAGAAAGAAAATATGTCACGCACGCCTGATGACCTGGAGCACTTTTTCTCTTTTTTTTTTTCAGTACAGCCGTGAGCGCACGCTTGGACAGGTCGGGGCCTCCCGCGGCAGCCCCAGTAACGACCGAGTGCACCATACTTAAATCAGCCGATGGCCGATACTTGGCCCGTGACGCAGTGATTTTTGAGCCTGTGGCATCATTTGTCCAGAGAAGAGAAAGCGCTCTTTAGCTAAATTTTTTGTCAACTTTGGGTCGCGAACTGTGTGTGCTACGATATTTGGCTCGCACGTTCTCGGGAGCCTGAACTACCGATCGGCAGCATTCTCCGACCATGCTCAAAATGTGTTGCAGGGCTTCTTTAAATGTTTTTGGTTCACTTATTGATCCCGTCAAAGTCGTATCTCATGACCCAGGACAGATAGAGTTGTAATAGCTTTTTGAAGATAAAACCCAAATGGTATAGAGCAACGTGCCGAGAGCAGAGTTCTTTTGCAGCTCATAAATTTTCTGAATTCGGTTTTGTTTTTTCTATGTGGGAGTCATTGCACAAACATTGAAGTTCAATCACCTTCAGAACGACTAGTGATGATTTGATCCAAAAACTGTTCACAGCTTCGCACTTATTGCATATTACAGTATATAGCTATCTAATCATATGCTTTTTTGCAAAATGACTTTTTTTCGAACTTTAGAAAATAGAGAGGCAGTTAGTGTTGCAGCATATGGCAGCGCACAGCAGGTTGCACACACACACAAAAAAAAAAAAAACGCGCAGAAAAGGACGACACAAGTGCTGAACTTGAGGGTCTTACCAACTAGCCCGCCAGTATGCTTTAAAAGCAGTTTGGTGTATCTCGTAATCTAGTTTACCTACAAGAAGAATTATTGTGCATTTGAAATCAGCATGACCAGCTTAACAAGTTTATTTAAATTAATCATGTTTGGACATGAAATACAACATATCTCTGCACGCCATGCCCCAACGTCTCAACGTAGAACAGCAAGACATTGGAGGAAGATGAAAGTGAAAAGAAAAAAAAAATTTATTAGCAATCCCCTGCCGACCCTTCATGCAGAGTCTGCAGCGTCCTTGACAGGGCCGGCGGTGCCATCTGGAAGGCTGTTTTCTCTTCCTGCATAAAAGGGCAAAACTAAACTATTGCATCTTTCTTGTCCTTTTGCACTCAAACTTTGTCGCTCATTTTCTAGCAGAAGCATCTTCACTAAGGATGGACGAATGGCAAGTTTGAGGGTCAAAATGAATTACAACGGAATAGTGATTTGGTTGAATTTGAAATAGAATAGTTTGAATAGTGCATATCACATAGAATAACATCACATTTAAAAAATTGCAATTTCTTCACATATATTCTTTAAATTAGCACTTTTGTTGTGGCCCAACGAACTTGCACAATATTTTTGAGAATTGGAACTAGGCATGCGTGAATATCACTTTATTGGTTGGAAGAAGTGCGAACACATATAAGTTCATATAATACGCTATTAAAGATAAAAAATAATTAATTGAAGTGATGGGAGTATGTGAGTTTCCACTTCGTGGCAGTGCCGATTTGCCCTAGATAAGTTGTTTCATGGCATGGCATCCCTAAACTGCAGTGAAACCACTTTTACAGGGATTATCTCCACTCTAATATTCATAACATCAAATGAAGCAGTGTACACAATCATGCACACATAGAATGATGCAAACACAAGTTGTTGTGCATGCATTATTTTATGTGTGCGTGATTATGTCCTTTTGTGCTATGCGTCGTCAAATACCATGCCTCACCTAGCTCATCAGCACGTATTAAATACATATAGCCATTCTTTTGGAATAGTTTAAATTTGTGCCAAAGTGAACTCAAATACTGCCAACATTTGTTGGCAAGAAAACCAGCATGATCAAGTAAAGCCGCCACAATGGTATTGTCAAATTGCAAGGTTACAGCATCAGTGAAGACGTTGTGTTGAAGTTTAACATGACATGAACTTCAGAATAGTATGAACGTCAGTATAGTTGTTACACTGAGACATACAGTGCTTTAGCATTCAGTGCATGAAAGCGACTCGTCGAAATGTTGGCGCCGGCAACTTTTTGAAGGATTTTTTTTAGTACGTTTCACGCCATTTGATATGACAATAGAAGACTTTCTTCCAGTAAGACGACCTATGTCAGCCTTAGCCAACACACTCAGTCTACCAACCTTGTTCAGTATGTCCGTCCTAGCGCCAGCTTTAATCAGCATCTTGGCAACATCAACCCTCTCCTCTTCGCACGCCAAGTGCCTGAAACAAAAAACGACATTGCAGTATTCAACCCACCACCAAAGTCTCCACGTTTAAAGTCATTACAGCCACCTCCAGATTGGCTATGCCCGAAATACCGGAAAGTCCTTCTTTCAAATGGCAATGTTGGCTGACATTCCATGCACCTCCCCCTTCCCCACATCTAACCTTTTACACTACCCCGACCCTGGCAGGAGTACCAATTTCACAACTGCTGCAGGCTGTCTGAAGGGGAGTTCTGAGACCACAGCTCTAACCTGTCATAAAACAGTGTTCCTTCTAACCACCTTTCGCACTGTATTGAAAACGACAAAATCTTAGAGGACACTCGAGCTTGACTTTCTTGAGTATAGAGATATCGAAATCGGGCACCGTGCGCACCACCTTCTCAATCGCTAGCCTAGCTTCCGTTCTCGGCACATGCCTCAACTGTGCCACAAAAAAACGAAGGTCTGTGCGTAACATTGGCTCTTTCAAGGCATTCTAACATGCCTACTTCAAGTGAACTTGCACAGTGCCCACTACGTGTCCGTAAAATGACACGCGAACCTATGCGGCAGCTTACTTTGCTGATGCTTTTAGTGGTAACAATGTAAGGAAGAAACGGAACACACTGCATCGCAACGTTCTACATGCGCCGACTCACAGGGGCGTGTTGCCCGGCTCGTCCGCGCAGTTCAGGTCAAGCTGGTTGCTGTAGCCATCGAGAAAGAGCCGCACGATGGGATTCCTTCCCAGGGACGCGGCCCGATGCAGCGGTGTGCTGCCGTACGAGTCTTTGGCATTGATGTTCGCGTGATGCTCCAGCAAGAGCTTGGCAATCTGCGTGATTGAAATGTCAATGTGCGTGCCACGCATACTGCTATGGGGACACTAAAGCAGAACTATAAATTAGTTTAGGCTGATGAATTATCCTCTGAATTTTCTAGCGCTGCAGATTTAACCACCACAGTTTTATTTATAGATAAGCAAATCAATGTCAATGGTCTCACTTTTCAATTTGCTGCCGAAGTCTCCAATTTGGTGACATCACGGCTTTGTTTTTTTTTTATTTTGGCCATGTCTGCTCAGCATAATTTCCTGAAACTAGGTGTGTTGAATCTCTGGCCTTCTCAGAGGACAATTTATTTCATTTTTACTGGTTATAAATTATGTAGGACTGACTGAACGCTGTAAAATCTCATGACACGGCAACTGCTGTGGGTACTCCGATGTGGTGTGACCACCCGCATATTCTTTGCATGCGTTGTTTTTTTTTACTTACAAAATGCCTTCTCGCAGCAATCGTGGTGGTTATGAAATAATGAAAGAGTAGCTAATTAAAAAAAATAGTCTATTTGTTTTAGCGTACCTTTAAGTGTATGCTGGAGAAGGTGGAACGCACCACACTATTTGCATTTTCGTCAGAGGGAGCACCATTGCTTTACAGAAGCAGCACGCACTATTTTACACACGAATTACCTCAGAAAGTTTATGCATTAAAAGCTTCCACAGAGGATATCATGTAGGAGTCTGCCAAATGGACTCCTGGCAAACTTCTGGGCAAGTTGGCATCCAGGTGAGGTATTCCAAATAAGCCCGCTTGGTAGGCACCTATAAGATACCTCATCTAGATCGAAGGCAGCAGACTCACCTCCAGGTGACCTTTGGATGCAGCATAATGCAATGATGTCTGGCCCATCTGGTTTGCGATGTCAACATTGGCATTCCTGCCAAGCAGGGCAGACACCATCTCAATGTGACCAACCGATGATGCGATCATGAGTGGCGTCCAATTGGCCTGCGCCCAGGAATGAATGCACACAATATGTAACAATGTGAAAAACTTGTTCAATTAACATTAACAACTCTGTGATAACTAAATGAATAAATATAAACTTCACAAGTGTAGTCAAATGTTTTTTTTTTTTTTTGGAGGAGGGAGGGTTCAACCAAAGGTTGTGTATGTGAATTTGATTGTATGTGTGCATATTATATATCATACACACGCATGCAAAATTGAAATTTTGGGGATAGAAGGGTGGTTGAACCCCCTCACCCTCACATTCCTTCACCAATATTACTAAGCTTCTGCTATCTAAAATTAGAATATTTTCGCTATCCTACTAACCGAACGCTCAGTAGTTCAAGCACTCGTCACAAAAAGGTGGCTCCTCCAGTTTCTTTTACTTCCATTGCCACTTCAGACGAATTCAAGAAAATAGGTGCTACTTCAAAGAGCCCGCGGTACAGCACCACAGGGAAGGTATTTGGGGAACAAGAAAATAAAAAGGAGCCCGCAACGCACAACACGCCTTTTACACTGTCCTGTGCTGCCCTCTGCAGTTTGGTTAGGGGCCGGAACAACAGGCGTCACTGGAACAAAAGCCTCCGTGATCAAAATGTGTTTTGCGACTTTGCCGCTATGGGAAAGTGCGCATGCGTAGTGGAGTCGTAGAGAAATAGGCAAACCGCGGAGCGAACGTCTGCATGTCTGACCCACGACCTTGGCGGCAAGATTGCGCGGGCCTACCACCAGATCTTAACAACACCTGATAACAACAAAAACCGCGCACACACACTACACACCTCGTCGACGCAGTCAACCGGGGATCCCTGCTGGAGAAGATAGTTGACGATGTCATTATGCTTGCCCGAGACGGCCCAGTGCAGAGGTATACGTCCCGCCTGCGAGAGGAAAAGCGCCAACTGTTATGACTGCAATAATGAATGCTCTAATCCCTATCGGACGCCGGCATAGTGATATACTGCTCAGTCATTCAACGTATCGCGCGGTCTCTCATCCCAGAAACCTAGGATCACTCTGTTATTTGCTCTAAGTCACTTCACTGCTAAGGTCGGGCCGAAAAGCGAGCTTACGAGGTCTTCCTTGGTGAGTAAAGTGCGATCGGCACTTAGCTGCTGCTTGAGGGCTTCAAATTTCCCGTCGTACGCCAAGTTGCAGATCCAGCTGTCCGACATGTTTGATAGCGGGTGAACAAAAAAGGTGAAACAACCCAAACAAAAACCCAAATTTTGTGTGTCTATACTTGTAACAACTAATAAAAACTAACACCCTGAAAACTTAAATAACAATAAATAATTAATATTTTACTGTTATGACATGTTGAAGTAGGTGTGTTTTTTAACCTATTCACTAAATTTAAAAGTACCGATCTCGAAGGCTGTGCTTTACGTCATCAACCTTCTTAGGGCACGTTCTGTTTCGGTATTTTGCATTCTGAACATTGCGGCGGTCGTGCGGTGGATTTTGTGGTTCGGACTCTTGTTGAGGTGAGTTGCCGTAGTTTTTGTTCAACTTCGTTGCTTTACTTATGCTGCACGTATCGTGGATCGCGAGGCTCGGCGTAAACGTAACGGACAAGACAAAAGCGTGTGCCCGAGGACGGTACCCGGTTCCCTAGACCTGGAAAAAAGCCTCGGCGTTGTATAGAGACACTTGTCACCGGCGTGACTCGACGAAATGGGTAGCCCTTACTTGCTGGCATTTTCGTATCTCGCTGGACGCTCTGTTTACGTCCGATTGGTCCCGCGGCACGTTACGATACTAACGCGGAATTCACTCGGTCTTCAGGTTAAACACTACCTTAACGGCGCTGCCATGTCCGATCTTTGACTCGCTTTTTCTCAAGTGCTTGCCGCGTGCTCCCAGAAAACGGAACGCTCGCTAAACCGTGTAAGGAGCGCCACCCATTATTCGATGGACAAGCCGGCGAATCCGATCAATGAACGACACGTTTTTGTTCGGAGGCGCGCGTTTCGTTTTCGGTGTGCTTTGCGGAATGCGAAACTAGAACGCCTACACGGAACGGTTCACCGTAAGAACGCTTCTCGATTCAGTTCCAAGTCGCGTTGCGCGATTCATCCCACTCTTTCCCAGTCTTCGCTGGGAAGTTTCCGTTCATTAAACTGCAGTGATGGAAGTGCTGCTCCAAAAGATAAATGCTGCTCCAATGTGCAATATTTGCTAGTAACTGCTCCAACCCTGCCCCGAAAGGATGTTGGCAAACTAAAAAAGAATGAAGTTGAACCATGGGACCATCCCGTGAGCTTAAGCGAAACCAAAAGCAAGCTGTATACACCATCATCCTAGTGTGCTACTCAGTGGCGTTAATCCAGAGAAAGCTCAAGGGGTGACACATATCAGGCCATAGAGTCCAATTCATATTTTCAATTCTGATTGTATTTTTATTTATATAAAAAGAAATCATGCTTTCAAACAAAATTAAAAGAAAACGAGCATGGGGTTCGAGCTCGAGCAATTGCATTGTTCCTATTCAGTCTCTTTTTCACCAGCCTTTTTTCAATTTCCATAGTTCACACAGCTGAGGGGCATTTAACAAATGCACGCAGTAAAAGATAAAAAGCCTTTTAATCTGTTGACTGTCCTATACTTCACTGTTAACTAAATTATATCACGTACTAAAGCTAAATCTCAACTACTGGGACACTTGCAAGCGGTGTCCTCCACAGCCTGAACATCAGAAAAGTCCAAACTCTCCTGACCCCGCCCATCATTTACGTTATCTATACTGCATACTAGCATACGGCATGCTTAATTGTAAATATAAGTATTTATTACATGCTTAAGTGATGTTTTAGAATTCAGGAGTCGTTAAGAACACGCATCTGCTCCGAAGACACTTAAGGCTGCTCCAAAGCACCATTTTTTCTGCTATAGAACCTGCTCCAAAAAGCAAAACGTCGCTTCCATCACTGAAATTGTATCCCCTAAAAACTTCGCCCCGGGAGAAAAAACAAAAATAAACGTAGTTTGGAAAATGGGCTGCGGAGAATCACAAACTGCATTGGTGTTCGGTGATCAGTGTTATATCGTGTGTGTGTTATCGTCGAACAAACTCCTGTATTGTCTTCGAAAGCATGCATCATCTATTCGTAGAAATAAAAATACTGTGTTGAGCGCAAGACACTTAATGCATCATGTCTACTGTGACACCCGGTGTGCCTGCCTGGATGCCACTCTCGTTCTGCTGCAGAGCCTAGTCAAAGGAGTGCGACGATGCATCTACCACGGTCTGCCATAATTATGCATCTGAGTTGGCCGCATCTGACGCAGTTGTTAAAAAACATGAACACTGTGCATTTTCCTGAGCTGGCATGAGACGATGTTTGTACTTAGTGGTGCATAAATGGTACTTAGGTTAAACTGTCCAATACAACTTGTAAACCTACAGCGTCATTGGAAATCAAGAGACCCAGAATGTTTATCACTCACGAACAGGGCACTGCACGAGTGCTTTTCATTGCAACTCGCTACTTACGCTGGAAAACATCATACGCATTATTCAGGCAGCATACAGCTGATGCCCACAAGATGAAGCTGAAAAACAGCAGAAAAAAAGACTGGTAGACTGTTTGCTATCTAATCCGATGCTGTCTGAAGCCTGTACTTCTCACCATTTTTATGATGTTTGATCGATTGCAGTTAAAGATTCACCTTTAGGTCTATAGTGCAAAGCTCTATGGTGATTAGCATAAAACATTGCTATTCCTAAATTTGACAATATCGCTGCATTTGACGGTGTCCAGATTAACGGCCCGTATATCGGCACTGACTGATTCAGCCGCAGTGTTTTCACTTCTCGTGATGCCTTCCTTTTTCGTTATTTTTTCGTTTGGTGCAGGAAATTGGCAGCGATGTCGACGGACGCATTTACAGATGGCGGGAGGCTGGTCAAGATGGAGGTGGACTACAGCAAAACCTGCGATGAGAAAATTCCTCAGTGCGAGGCACTTGCCAAAGTACGTGATGGGTTAATTTCGCAAGTGTTTTTCAGGCTTTGTTTTTAGTGCTTATGTGGATGCTCAGTCGTTTACGGTGTGTTCGAACGCTCTTCCAGGCAGGTGACCTCAAGGGGGCACTCGATCAGTTGCTGTCGTTGGAGAAGCAGACCAGAACGGTGAGTGTTGTCTCTGCAAGTTTTGCTCAAGTTCAGGGGTGTTCTCGTATTTATTTTGAAGATGAAATGGAATTCAAATCGAATAGTGCTAAAATTGGCGACTGGCCATGTTTCAAATACAGTGGACTCCTGGTAAACAAAACCTGAAAGGACCAGGGAAGTATGTTTCGTTTATTGAGAGATACAAAAGTGTACAGAATTCAAGTATGCAACCAATCGCATGAGAGGCTGTTGCTCTATTAAAGCAGCGATTTTGCTGAAGAGAGTTTCATATAATGGGAGTCTTCTGTAGTTTGAACTTTCTAGGCAGGCAATTCTGTCGAAATGTTTAGTTTACGATTCAGATTGTAGTGTAATATAAGAAAGCAAGCAGCATAAACAATATTCATTTCCTAGTTCTCAATGTCAATATAAGTTTGTAAAGGTGTTGCATTTTGTAAAGGAGTTGTTAAAGTGCAGTAAACCTATGCTAACGTGATGACGGTTGGAGCAGTGTGGCTGATTGACCGTAGTTGGTGACAACTAGTTTTAGGTTTATAGTGTGAAATTTGAACCTTAACGAAGATAAACTTCAGGGTCAAGGGCATGTGCTGGCTACAAACTTGAAGGGGCCCTGCAACACTTCTTGAGCATGGTCTGAAAACGCTGCCGATCGGTAGTAGAGGCTCCCAACAACGCACGAGCCTAATATTATAGCACAGCGTGCGGCCTGGAATTCACAATAAATTATCAGTCACCTGAAAACCGCTTTCTCTTCTCTCGACAAATCACGGAATATGCCAAAAAATCACACGTGAATTACCCCATCTATCAGCCATTGACTGATTTGAGCATGGCGCGCATGCTCGTTACAGAGATCGTCGCGGGAGGCCGCGACTTGTCGACGCGTGTGCTTGCGATCACACCAAAAAAGCGGCGCACTCTAAGAAAAAAAAAAGAAGAAAAAAAATGCTTAAGGCCACGAGGCGCGCATGGCGTTGTTTGCTTGCCCCTCCCATCCCTCCCTGCTTCACTTCCAGCGCTTTTGTCGGGACGAGAGAAGAGAGAATGCAATTGCAGCATGCAACAAACCTTTGCAACTCCGCTCGCACTGGACGGATTGTTAAAATTTTTGCGGCGTCGAATTCGTAAGGCAATTAAATTAGCTTTTCCAGTGAATTCATTCCGTGGTTGCTTGAAAAGGTGTTTCAGGGCCCCTTTAAGGTTTATTAGCACTGTACCGAATATTCTGCAGTGAATGGAATAGGGAATGTTACATAGTGGTCGATAGGACTGATCGGTGATTCCTGCTTACAGTGTTAACAAAACAGGATTAATGACAAAAAAGTGACATTGCGCTTGTTACTGTCTTCATCCTGTTTTGTGTTTTTGTCTGTCCAGCTGAAAACAGGGACAGGATCAAAAGTTGAAGACGGGATAAAAAAAAAGCTATGAAACTTGCACTTTAGTGGGAAAAATTGAAGTAAAGGATTGAATAACAGATAGAGGAGGCTCTTTATGCTATGCTTCTATGAGTGGTGGCAGCAGCAGCATTGTTCATGAAAGATGTGCAACCGGCGAACGCACAGAAATGCAGCCGTCGAAAATGTACTGGTCACGTGCGTATTTGAATGCGCCGTTTTCCAATGATTTATGCCCTCTCTATCACGGGCTTGATAGCAGTCGGCCATTTCTGATGCGGCAGTGTTGATATTTTATCGAGATCACTTGTCATTTCACGTTGCCACATTCTGCCGTTGTGAGTGCGTCAACACATGGCCATCGTTGTTGCCTGTAGCAACAGAAGTGTTGTGCTGCAAAGCATGTCGATGAAGGTCCGATTCCTGGCATGGAGCAACAAGACGGTTACCAAGAGAGAGGGGCATTGCATAACCCGATACGATGAAAGAAAAGTAGGTCACGCTGACACACGCCAAGCTGCGATTACCCTCATTTTCCCGACAGAAGAAGGGTTCCTAATTTGTTTGAGTAATAAACTCAAGCATCACTATAATAAAGTTGCACGTTATATGAAAATAAGTTTGTTATATGCAAAAATTTTTTATAACAGTATATAGTCTTAATGCTGTGTTTATGACAAGACCGTTCATGTACTTCGTCATAACAAGTATTTCTTTATATCCAGGTTCATTAGATCGAGGTTTGAGTGTGATTCCTATTGGTTGCGTAATGGCCAATTTACCCGAACACCTTGCGTGAATTCTTATGTTTTCAACGAAAGTGGACGGCATGTTGCAGGGCGGCGATACCCACTCCACCTCTCGGGTGCTGGTGGCCATCGTGCGTATCTGCTTCGAGGCCAAGGACTGGGCAGCCCTGTCGGAGCAGGTGCTGGCACTGACCAAGCGGCGCAGCCAGATGAAGCAGTCGGTGGCCAAGATGGTGCAGGAGTGCCTCACGTACATCGACCAGATGCCCACCAAGGAGATCAAGCTGGCCTTCATCGACACCCTACGCGCCGTCACGGCTGGAAAGGTGAGGGCCGGGACGCCGCACTTCCTTCCGTTTGTGAAAATGTGCCCGTGTCCAGCTATAATTGAACACGCCTTGTTTCTTGAAACACTTTATCTTTCCAGGGGAATTTCGGTGTTTTCATAATTTTCTCCTGTTATTGTGATAGCAGTTTTATGGACACACTTGATGGGTTATCGATATTGCCATCATATTCTATATAAAATCCAAATGGACACCATCCTCCCTCCCCCACTCTTTTTGCGCATTGTATGTTCTACCCTCAGCTAAACGTGCGAGTGGATGTGACAAACGCAGTTGAAGCAGAGATCAAATGAGCTGGCCTTTGATAGCACCCAGAGAGCGCATGCAGCAAAATACCCCCCGTGTGTTAGACCTGTCATCAAATGCTCAAGCAGACGTGAAGCACCCCACCCTTCTTGAAGGAGTATGAAGGGATGCGGGCGGTGGGGGGAGCAGGGGGGTTCATTTGAGCAGCACCTGTGAACTTTGATTCTATGGGCGCACTCGCAATCGTGGGCGCGTCTTGGCAGGCATCGGCACAGATGGCTCAAATGCCCATCAGTGTGATGCGCTCTCAATATAAAGAGACGGTGAGAAAAGAGGGTCTCTCTCTAGAGTGGCTGTATTCTCTGACGCGAGCGTTTTGTATAGTTGCACAATATCGGATCCAAAGGAGGCTGCCGCCAGCCTAACTTTGTATGATGTTACAATTCATTGCCACGGCATTTATTGCATCACCCTTGCATTGAACCCGCGATTTTTTTGGTCAGTATCATTTTCAGTAGGGAAGCTGCTCGAAAACTTAGTTTTTTTTTTCGTTTTATAACTTATCTTGCAATTAGATAGAACTGTTGAAATTGAGGCGGATATGCACACGCTTACACTGTCACTGAGGTTATTGCACGTTTAAAATGAAGCATATTTGTAACGAATGCTGGATTCATCCAACCATCTCTCCCCCCCTTTTTTTTTTCACTTGGGTATGACTGTAACGATGTCAACTGTGCGACTGCGACATTCTCGCAGATCTACGTGGAGGTCGAGCGTGCTCGGCTGACTCACAAGCTGGCCCAGATGAAGGAGGCGGACGGCGACGTAGCCGAGGCGGCCACCCTGATGCAGGAGCTGCAGGTCGAGACCTTCGGCTCCATGGACAAGCGCGAGAAGGTGGAGCTCATCCTCGAGCAGATGCGGCTCTGCCTTGCCCGCCAGGACTACATCCGCACCCAGATCATCAGCAAGAAGATCGCCCCCAAGTTCTTCGATGATCCCAAGCAGCAGGTGAGGTGGCACACCTCGATACGAAGAACCCGGATATAACGAAGTAAATGAAGAATAGTCTCGCATTAGATAGTGTTCATAATATACCTTTATAACGAATTTTTTGATGTAACGAGCATATTTTTGTTTAAGATGCAAGTTTCTTAAAATTAGGTGTGTCTCTATTGCCCTATCGTAATGATTGAATGCCTACTCTGTTGCAGCATGTTACCTGAGAGTGTTGACCGCAGCTGAAGCTCTCTTGCTTTTGGGATAATACCGTATTTACTTGCGTAATGAATGCCCTCGCATGATAAACGCACCCTTTACATTCATCCATTGCAGTTCTGCTAACAGACACCTCATGCCTTCTTGCCCGTTGGATCCCTTCCGTTTTTTTATTATGATGACCCTTCCTTCATGTTCCTTTCCCCCCTTTGTCTGCTGCCCAATGCCGTATTGTTTTTCTTTCTGTCTGTGTGCAGCACATGCCATGTCATTTTTATTTATCTGTACGCCACAGCGGAGTTCACGAATAGTGCGAGTGTAGAGACATAGTAGCTGACAAGCACACAGCAAGCGAAGATCACGAGATTGCCCGGGCCAACCGATGGTCACTTCCTGCAACTATAAAACTTTGAGGCCCATCCACATGCACGCGATTTTCGAGCGACAATGACAGGATTTGCTGTCGCCATGACTGTCGTGAAAGGCCGTTCGTCGCCATCGCCTTGCAGGTTTCTGGAAAATTGGGAAAAATCGCTTGTCCCCATGAAAAGATCGGTATGATTTCTGCAACATGGTACGACACCAATTCTCGCTTCAGTCGCAATTTGCTCTTCGTTATTGTTATCCGCGCATACTTCAAAGAACGCAAGATATAGGCTACCTTTTCATCTGGACAGTGAGGTGGTGGCCGTCTTTTGTTGTTAATCTTGTTATCGGTGGTTTGTTTTGAAGCTTCGATGGTAGCTAGCTACAATTTTGGTTACTCGCTGTAGTATCAACGGCAGCGGCGCGGTCGTAGTGTGAAGTTGCCTCAGAGTTGGTAAAGTGCGTCATAGGGCATGCTTCCGGGCATCCTTCGAGATCACAGCAGATACCACTGTTGCGGTTAAACGATTGCGAGAGAAGAAAGCCATGAAACGCTTTTACGCAGTGCACAGGTGGTACAGGAACAGCTGTTTATGCGTATGTTTATTGGAGAAGACTAGGTGGTCTAACTACCTTTTTTTTTTTTTGCATTACCACATTTTTTGCTCATCCTGAAAAAATTTTCGTATAGTTTGCCCTGCATAATAAACGCACCCCCAACTTTGCTCCAATTTTTTTAGAAACAATGTGCTTTCATTACGCGAGTAAATACGGCACTTGTCTTTGTGTCAAGCTGAAAAAAGAACTGGCATACTAGGGTGCTGCTTCAGAACGATATGAACGTTTTTGACGCAATGAAAGCATTGAAGCCAGGCGCATCTCTGAGCTGGCCAAGCTTTACATGAGCCCCGCCGCGGTGGTCTAGTGGCTAAGGTACTCGGCTGCTGACCCGCAGGGCGCGGGTTCGAATCCCGGCTGCGGCGGCTGCATTTCCGATGGAGGCGGAAATGTTGCAGGCCCGTGTGCTCAGGTTTGGGTGCACGTTAAAGAACCCCAGGTGGTCTAAATTTCCGGAGCCCTCCACTACGGCGTCTCTCGTAATCATATAGTGGTTTCGGGACGTTAAACCCCACATATCAATCAATCAAGCTTTACATGAACGATGTCAACCCGACGTCTACACATGGGTTTCTATGGGAGGGTAAACGGAAGTCTACAAAGACTGTAACCAGTCCTGCACTATGAGCCGTTACGTTATAACTGCGAAACTGCGCGAAAAAGTGACAAGTAACTTTATGAGTTGCCTACACTGTACCATTATCGACGAGTCGTTGTACGTTGTGCTCGTCTGGAGCCACGTTGAAATATATTCTCTCTTTTCTCAGAATGAGCAAAACCGGAAACCAATTTGCCCTATATTTCTAGCTGGAGATTTTATTGCATGTATGCAAGAACACATCATGAATGTCTTCAGAATGAGTAATTATTTAATAGTAGCCTAATTTGGATTAACAGCTATAAAATGCATAAATCAGTCTATGTATTATAAAATTATATTTGTTGCAATAGAATATCGAGTGCCTTGATTCATGCTGTGTCATTTTGACTTATTTACCAACAGTTCCTCATAGGTGGCGTCTGAAAGAATTAAGGGGGTTGACTTAAGATTGTGGAAATACGGTAATTTGTGTGGTGTTTCTTTTTCACATTTTTGCGTGCAAACAGCATATACTGAGAACTCCTTAGTACCGAAAAATGTTTGAACATTTGTCAGTTTTATTAGGTTTAGGTTTTTGACACTACAACCCTTCAGCGACACATCGAAATAATAAATATGTATGGAGTTTTATATCATAGCTTCACCAAGTATTTGAGTTTAGGAACCAAAAAGTTTTGCGCGTTAAAATGTTGACCTTTTTTTACTACAAATTCATTTATTGCCGCGTTGTGGTGCATTGCATCCACGCACAAAATGATGCATCGGGCAGCAATTTTCAGTGTCCCTCGCCACCATCCATGCCTCTTTGGCAAGGGTCACAGTGCTGGCCCAGGTGGCGCTTTCCCCCAATTGTTGTGTCCTTTTGGCAAGTGTCACAGTGCTGGCCCAGGTGGCGCTTTCCCCCAATTGTTGTGTCCCGTTTGCCTAGTCTCATAAAGATCGCACTAGTGCTGTTGTCTGAAGTTCTTGTGTGGGACTGGCTGTTGTACCGATGCATGTTGTTTGTTCGCAAAAAGAAGTGCGGGAATTGAAGAGCACCAATGTGTACAGAAGCACAAACGAGTGGAAAAATGGCGTGAAGCTGCTGCTGCTGAATGCACAGGTGCGGCTGCTAGCTTCCATCTTCACAGTGACAAAAAGGCTCCGATTTTATTAATATTATTTATTCGTGTATTGTGCAGGACCTCAAGCTGCGCTACTACAAGCTGATGATCGAGCTTGACCAGCACGAGAGTTCATACCTGGCCATCTGCAAGCACTACTCGGCCCTGTACCGCACCGAGAGTGTCCAGCAGGACGAGGCGCAGCGCAAGGAGGCAAGTAGACTTTGTCTTGCTCTCATAATCTTGTTGCAGTGTAGCGAATGACCTCGTCGTAACGCTTTTTGTGGGATAACACAGAAACTAGAATAACACATTTAGAGCTAGTAGTTGGTCGTTCTTACTGATTCGAAAACAGCGCGTATTATGAGAACGGACAGACACAAGGGAAGATGCTTATGCAGCGCCTGTGTCTGTAGTGTGCGGGCCTCTAATTGGCTGTGGCATGGCCACTTGTGTGCCAGTGCTACCGGAGAAGCTGCTGCCCATTAGAACAACTTGATTGACCCCCCATTCCTTTGTTAGGTCACTTAGTTATTGTAAGCAGGGGTGAATGAATGGGCATTCCAGCAAGTTTGCCGTGAGAATTGTGAAGGAAAAGTAAATAGCTACCCTCACCTGGTGATAAGTGACACAGAGGCAGCATTTGTGGCCAGGATGAGACAACTCAACAAAGGCGCTGGATTAAAAAAAAAAAAAATCGACCAAGTCGAGCAATATGTACCGCGTCCTGATAGTTACTACAGAAAATTATTTTTAGAGGCCTATGCAGTGTGCCGACCCTTGTTACTGTGGCTTTCGGCATAGCAGATGCTTCTTGCTTCCCATGTCCTCCTCCATGGTACAGTGCATGTAATGTCACTTCTAAAGGAACAATGCTCGACCGTGTCCAGTTCATGGCTCCCGGCAGTGCAGTTGCCACATTAGAGCGCATTGCCCAATAATTGAAGTTTTCAAATCGTCGAGACTCTACTGTGCACAGCTTTCCTGAAAAGGAGAAAGCGATTTCTTTTTGCAGCGGGTATCAGTGACAGTGCACGGTGTTTGTGGCGTAATAGACAAAGCTAGTTTTGAGTTGTTGCGAATCCGCGATCTTGAACAGGCGCTGAGGAACATGCTTCTGTTCCTGATGCTGGCACCGCACGACAATGAACAGCACGACCTCATCCACCGGGCCAAGCTGGACAAGAACCTTGACGAGCTGCCCCAGTACAAGTAAGTGTTCAGCGCTGTTTCTGCGCACTCTTTATTGGTTAGCCATTATAAAAAGCTATAGCTATCTTTCTCAACTACACTGAAACCTTCATATAGCGAAATATTGGTTATGACGATGTAAATGAAGAGTAGTGTTGCATTAGATACAGCATTAGGAATAACCTTTACAGTTGAACCCCTTCATAAGAGAGAGAGAGAGAGAGAGAAATAACTTTATTGGGTTGAAAAAGAAGGGGTTTAGGAGCTAGATGGGTGGGGCCCCATGTCCAAGGCTCCACTGGCTTGCGCCGCCTGCCGGACGTGGTCCAGGAGTGCTAGTTGCACCTCCGGGTCCGAGCTAGCGAGGAGTGCCTCCCATTGCTCCCAAGAGTTTTCCATTCTATACATACGCTGTAAGCGATCAAGTTCATTTGGCCGTTTAGCACAACTCCACGAGATATGGTAAAGGGTCGGTGGCGAGTCGCGACACCACGGACAATCGCGCCCATACAAAGTTGGATGAATTTTGTGCAGTCGTAATAAATTTGGATAAACTCCCGTTTGAATTTTACGGAGGTCTATGGCGTCTTCCCCTTTAAGAGGTTCGTGAGCGCTCTAGCTCGAGCGCTCACGAACCGAGCGGAGCAGCAGCCTTTCTCGCTGTTGCCACCACCCAGCAACGACGGCTTTCGCGAGGAGGAGGAAAACGACCCGGCTCGGATGGCTCCGCGAGAGCTTCTTGCTCACCAGCGATACACGCGGCAGAAATATGGCGCCCCCCACAATAAGAGAGATGCTCCGGGCTGCAATTCATGTCTCTTATAAGCAGGGTACCTTGTGTGCATATTCTTATCAACCCGCATTTTACTGTAAGCACACTTGTGTCTCTTATACCCATTTGTCTCTTATATCAGTGTCTCTTATAAAAGGGTTTCGACTGCATAATGAATTTTCAGATATAAACAACTTACTTTTTTTTTTGTAAGATGCAAGTTTGTTATAATGAGGTTTGAGACTAATGCAGTTTTGATTTAGATGGCTGTCCATTGCGTGTCACCAGTTGCTGCGCCCTTAAACAGCACATTGTAGTGCATCATGTAGCATGGTGTGAAAAAGAATATACAGTCGACTCCCGTTAATACGAAGTTCACGGGAACCGCAAAAAACTTCGAATTAAACGAACTTCGAATTAAGAAGGGAGGCTACCCTGGAGACCGAACTTTTTTTATTTTTTAAGATATCTGGATGAAACTTTCAGGGGCTGTTCACTACAATAAAACTAGCACAACTGCTAAGTTTCACGAAGCTGTGTTTCTTAGTTCCAGAGTTATTGAGGTTTAACTGGGTGCTTCACATGGGTGCTTGAGGAAGAGTCGTGAGAAATCCCAGGACATAGTAGAAAGCTGAAATTAATTGTGGTCATTCCTTGATAGCTATCCCAGGGCACTACAAAGCCGTTTTTTTAGGGGCAAAGCTCCTTAGGGCGTGGGCTGTGCGTCCCCTGTAGCCTGTATGTAGCCACCTCTAGTTTAGTTCTTGCAGTGTTCACTAGATGACGGTACCGTCTCCTGTATGTAGCCACCTCTCGTTTAGTTCTTGTAGTGTTTACTAGATGGTGGTACTAGTAGCTGATGATGAAAAGATGCAAGATGTTATAAACTAGAAAGCGGTACTTGTAGTTGATGAAAGATGCGAGATCTTATACAGGAACCGCTCTCCCTTCATTTCACAGACCATAAAGCCGTCATAATGAAGGGACATCGCAAGCCATCCATCGTCTAAGAACAAATAAAAGTTGATTTGTGTATATACACACACAGCGTTTCTCACGTCTTTACATGATGATCGACTGGGCGAATTACACGGAAGATTCACAGTTTACCGATGAATCCCTCCGGAGCTTCGCCCATTCATCATCATTCACCCCGTGAATATGCCGTAATTTTTTAAAATTCCCCCCCCCCCCCAAAATTTTCACGCAACTTTGAATTTGATGTAACAAGTAATGACCAGATTCATCAAAAATTAATTGTTTATTATAAATTAACAGCACCAATTTTCAAAAAAAGGAGCTTGTTATGCCCTTGCAAGGTCATCCAGGAACAGAATAAAAAAAAACGGCACACAAATCTGACGAACGGTTTTTGAGTTCTTGCTTTCCTCAGCACCACAACTAGCAAAAAAATCTGTTCGGAGAAAACAGGCCGAGAAAGTTCAAAACACGTGTTTTCTTCAAAAAGCTCCAGCACAGTAGCTAGAAGTGTCCTGGCGCACTCTTTTCTTCTTTTTCCTGGCCTCCATCTTCTCTTGGTGTCTTTTAGAATTCTTTTTTAGGCGTAAAGCGTCTTTTTCACGAGCTCGCTGGATGGCCAGATGACCTGGTTGAAGTCCAATGGAGTCCGATATCACTTGGGTCGCTTTGCAGCAGCCGGCATTGTAGCGCAGCGCTGCTTCATGCAGTGCTGTTTCTACCGCGATCAAGGATGAGTGTTGTTCCTTCGGCATCAGAGACCACAGAATGGAGTGGAATGATTCTGATGCATTTTGCGTCTTCGCTCCCAGGCAGCACTGAAGAAGCGACTTTTGTGACAGTCTTTCGTAGATGGGCAGCATAGCTGCAGCGACATAGTCCGGTAGGCTGTGTTTATGTTTTGGCTGTGGCTCACGCTTTGCCTCTGCAGCTCTATGGCGGCACCCTGATTGAGCCCCCTCTGGGCAAAGTTCATGGTGAGGGTCCTGGTCAGTCGATGTGACGTGGTGATATGTTGCCATCACTGCACGCTGCATGGCTGTTAGGTCAGTTGAATTGTTTCTTAGGGCCCAACCATAATATCCTGTCAGCTTTTCAATGAGGGCTTTAGTCAGCTTCCTCTTCCCACTCAGTGGCTCATCACTTTTCTGCACAATGTTTCGAAGAGCACTTCAAATCTTTTTCTGAACATGGTTCAGACATTCTTCTTTTACAATTGGCACTAGCCCGTACACATTCTCTTCTGTGAGGGCACCGAAGGTACGGCTGTCTCTGTCGGACACAAGAGTGGTGTACCGCAGGCCATGCTTGGATACAGACCGCCCAAAGAGAGTCAAGCCTGCCTCCACTTCCATGCTTCCCGATTTTGCGTCTGTGTTTTTCTGGCAAATGTGCTGCTTCTGCCAGCTTTCGTATGCTGCATCTCCAGGTTTGGGCCCTGTTTGGCATCCAAGGCAGTGGTTTGAAAGAACTACAGCATCCAAGATGAGACCTGTAAAGAAGTCAATTACCGATCCCACTCCGATGTGTGATGTGTGACCCCGCTTATGCCATGTGCCATCGTACACTACGGTGATGTCCTTGCAGAAGCTGCGGTCCATTTCTTTATATGTTTTGATCACTGCTGTGGCAGAATCAGCATAAAACTTCTCCAAAGCGGTAGCCTCTGGCTTCCCGAACGTCTCTTTCAAGTGCTTTTGAAACGTCTTGTGGTGAAGACCTCTGTAAGAGACATTCATGGCAGCCCAAAAGTCATTAAGAGCTGTTTGCCCCTTGCCTATTTGCTTTATAGCCATTATGGCACGGACATTTACATCGAAGGCCTGCGTGTCCTTTTTGCGGGGTGATGTCCATAATTTATCGACGGGGCCACAAGAGGCGCACACGACTTCAAGTTTTGTTGCAAGTCCAAGCTTGGTGTTCTCGGACAGTCATAGCACCTTTCAAACATTCTTTGCACACTGTGCTGCTGAGCACGACGTTAAAGATGTTCATTTGAACGAGCGAAAAATGTTCGCCCTCACTTGTCACTGCAGGTGCAAGAGCCGGCTGCATCAGTTGAAATTTCTTCTGCGTCGCCGGCGTAGACTCGAGTTCAGCGCGAACAACGTCACGACGTTTCGCATTTGCACCGATTTCTTCCTTCGTTAGGAAACGCGTCCGCAGATGAAGCGACGGTCCACTCACGCTTGATTGCGGCACCGATTCAGACGAAGTGCTGGGTCCGGCGATATCAGAAGCACTCGGTGTCACGCTCGATGGCACCGATTCAGACGAAGTGCTGGGTCCGGCGATATCAGAAGCACTCGGTGTCACACTGGATGGCATCGATTCAGAGCACGTGTCGAGCCCGGCGATCTCGGAAACACTCGGTGCATTTGCGGCTCCAGCCACACTCGATGTGTTGGATTCTCGACTGGCGACAGCCGACAACACAGTTCCGTCGCTTCAAGCGTCTACACAGTCGGCACCCGCAGCAGAATAGCGGAATTTCGATGATCGTACAAGCCGCATAGCGCGCGTCCGCGCACCGGACTTCCGCACTGACTTCGGCTTCGTTGCCGGCATCGCCCGCAACAACAGACGAAAGGCACAGAACTAGTGCAAAAAGAAAAAAAAAAGAGAGAAATTGATCGAAAAGATAGCACAAGGCGAAGAGCGGCTCGTAAGCAGACGTCTGTCGAGGCGGACGGAGCAGAGAGCAACAACGAAGCGAGCGCGCTGGACGCGCCATCGAGAGGAGCGACCGCCCCCGCTGCTGCACAGCAGCCAATGGCGGGCACGCTTTCTCCCGCGAGATATGAATGCGCTGCTGTAGCCAATCAGCGCTCCGCATCGCATCGCGGGAAAACGCCAATAGCGTCTCAACTGTGCTGCCGACGCCATTTTGCAAGGCGGCGAACGAGAGAGAAAGAATTCACGGTCAAAACAACACCAAGATGGCACGGGACGACCGCATGGTCCGGGAATGGCGCGCGCGCGAAGTTTGGTTTGTTTTCGGGATTTGCGCCTGTTTTGGACGCCGCGGCGGCCTCGAAAATAGTATTTTTTTTTTGCACTTTGCGGTTGAATTAGGGGCTGATAATTACAGAATAGGTAGTTTATGAGACATACAACCCAAAGATGTGGTTTTTCAAAAACCGACTTTTTCGCGATTTTTCGGTTTTCAAGGGCCGCGTCCCCCCTTAAGCAAAAAGCACTAAAAACGGCACTTTTATTAGTTTAAAAGCGTGACAGTTTTGAGTAAAAATAGTCTGTCATCTTCTTCTGCTTGCCGAATCTGGCTGCGGCTACTAAGTTTTGTAAGGAATACACGTGTCGAAGTGCTTCTTCGGCGTTGTGTTCTCCAACAAAAAGACGCTGCGCAAGAGCAAGACCCGCAGCTACATCGGCAGCCCTCGGTGGTGGCTCATTTCCGATGTCGTCGTCATCATCGTCATTTTCAGGAATGCAGTCATGGGGCCGAACCATCTACACGATTTCGCTGTCCGTTAGTGGACCGCATGTTTCGACGTTGCTGTCCACAGCGACATACTCGTCAAAACGGACGTCACTGAGAGCGGCGCGAAAGCTACCGTCGTCGAGCTCATTTGTTTGCACTTCCACTGGCGCACAAGGAGAAGCATCCCCCGAGTTTTCCATGAAACCACAGGCCCGGAAACAATTGGCGATGGTTTCTTCTTTCACGCGGGTCCAAGCTCGCGCTAGCATGTTGATGGCACTAAGCAAACTCACCTCATATTGCGACGAGTTGTCCATGCACAAAAGCATGCGCTCGACGAGATGCTGCCTATACAATACCTTCACATTTTTATTATGCCCTGGTCCATGGGCTGCAACACGGACGTCATGTTTGCAGGCAGGTACACAAGACGGATGGCACTCAAGGCAGGTACGTTCGTGTGGGCACTACATTGGTCCACAAGGAACAACACCTTACGGCTTGATTGCGCGAACTTGCGGTCGAGTTTGGTGATCCAGTCCTTAAGTATATTGGATGTCATCCACGCCTTTCTGTTCGAGGCATAATCCACAGGAAGCGTCTTCACGTCTTTAAAGCACCTAGGCTTGGCAGCCTTCCCGATCACAAGCAGGCGACACCGTTCTGTGCCAGTCATGTTCGCCGCAACTAGCACTGACACTCTCTCTTTGCTTCTTTTGCCTCTAGAACAGTCGTCGTCTTTAAATGTCAGGGTCTTGTCCGTTAGCAGCCGATAAAAAAGCGCAGTCTCGTCTGCATTAAAAATGTCTGCCGGCTGGTATTCTTCGAGGTACTCGCGAAGCTTGCCCGCTTTCCATGTCAGGCACGTTTCCTCATCGACTGACGCCTTCTCCCCACACACGCTTTTAAAAATCAAGTCGTGGCGATGTTTGAAACGCGTAAGCCACCCATCCGAAGCAGAAAAGTCGTTGATGCCCAACATTTCAGCAAGCGATGACGCTTTTGTCGTGACGACTTCACCACTGAAAGGAAATTTGTTGTTTCGTGCCTCTCTGATCCAAATCAGCAGTGCTTAATCCAACTCGGGGTAGGCGCCGGTGCGCATCCGCTTCCGCGATGTCTTGAATTTTTCACTTTCAAACGCATTCAATATTGAGCGCTTATTCTTTATGAAAGTCGACAGCGTGTTAGGCTTAATGCCGTACTTTTTTGCGATGTCTTGTTTGGCGGTGCCTCCCTGGTCAACTTCCTTCAAGACTTCGGCTTTCGTCGCTAGGTCTAGCGTTCGGTAAGGGCCACAAGTTGCCATTATCAAACGTACGTCACCACCACAACACTCAAAATCAGAAGCGCGGAAACACGTGTGGAATCAACCCAGCGCGCGGGTGACGCGGTGACACACTCGAGTCTCGACAAAAGTCAACTAAAGAGTCAGTCGATGACGCCGATGCGATTCGCCAGCGTTAAAAAGATTGCCGCTTCAAGATCTGTGGCGCTGCAGACAGTAATGATGGCGAAGACACCAGCGCGGTCCGGCAGATGTTTTGGCACATGAAAAGTTCCCCATTTTACTGTAAAATTACGATCGCGACGAGACTGTTGATTGAAAAAACTTCTATTTTTTTTATTTATTTATTTACAGATACTGCAGGCCCTACCCGGGCCCATGCAGGAGTGGGATACAAACAATACATTCAAGCAATAACTAGTAATACACTGGAGTACAGGGCATAAATGAAAGAATACATAACTATCAAGTACAGAAAAGTCAAATATATTTTCTCGCTGTTCAACAGAACTGCGCTCAACTAAGAATATTTTCAACATTTGTAGCCGGATGATTTGCACTCAAATGACACTATTTTCTGCATACATCACTTATATGGTGAAATTAATCTTTTCTATCTGTTGAGTGAATGAAGCCGTCGAGGCAGCATTCACTACTTCCGCAGGTAATGCGTTCCAATGAAAAACCAATATTATGGGTTTTTAACTTCGAATTATCGAGCATTTTTTTCTATACGATTGCATGCAAAACTGATGGGACCACTTGCTCATTTCTAATTAACCGAAACTTCCAATTAAGCGAGTTCGAATTGCCGGGAGTCGACTGTATAATAATTTGGCATAATACACAAACATCACATGCCTTTGCATGCCATTCTAATTCTAGGAAGTGATCCCCTTAATTGTGTTTCCAATGTTATTAATGTGCTATGATGTCATATTAGTCTAGACTCTTGTGTGTGGCACAGCTTAGTTTTGGTTGTTCTTGCTTAGATCAGTGCTGCAATTTGTCCCCCCCCCCCCTGCTTTTTCCCTTCGTTCATATTATCATTGCACTGTGTTTGAAAAATGCTCAACTACTGTCGCCAGCTCGCCCAGCTTTCAATCCTCTGTTTTTTTTTCTTCATAGAACTACATTTAAGTAACCAAAGTATTGCCAGATCAGTTTCAGGTGTGATCCTCACTGTACGGTCATGCTAGAGTACTTGTCGTTAGCTCTCGTTCTTTGAGCATAACGGTTGATGGTGACCGCAGAGCATGGCCTCACGGTATTGTTCATCTACTGACGTAGCGTGAACCCATCCAGGCTGTCACGATCGTCACTCTCACAGCCATATTGCCATTTAAGTAACACAGTTACTGGCCTAGCCATTACAAGCCAGAGGGATGGCGAGTCTCGTTCAGAACGGCATTGAGCAAATCGCATTTCAGAAGCATCTCGTCTCATACTTTTTTCATAAAGTAATCAATTATGCAGTTTTGAAAGCTTAGCTTGTTACGAGTCCATCTTATCGCTCAGCTCGTTTAGATCAAGCTCACATCATTTGCTGCTGCGCTAACACTGCCATCCCTTAGTTCCATGCACATCCAACAACAGGAACCACCTTCTCCCCGGCCTCGTTTCCATTTCACATTTGACTTTTTTTTTTTCAGCGTTCACTGTCACTTACTTGATAATGTGGGAAGTTTACAGTTACACACAAGCTCACACACACGTATATACTACCCTGGCTGCGGCGGCTGCGTTTCCGATGGTGGCGGAAACGTTGTAGGCCCGTGTGCTCAGATTTGGGTGCATGTTGAAGAACCCCAGGTGGTCGAAATTTCCGGAGCCCTCCACTCCGGCGTCTCTCATAATCATATGGTGGTTTTGGGACGTTAAACCCCACATATCAATCAATCAATCACATATATACTACTTTATTTGTTCTCAGTTTCTTAGTATACCTACATTTGCATTCATTGCCTAACATCATAGATATGTACACTCAGGCCTCACTATAACAATCTCACATCTACCACAAAAATACTTTGTTTTATCCTAAAATTTCTTATAAACTATTATTTGTAGCACTGTGTGTATGGCAAAGCTTTTAGTCACTTACTTCGTTATAACCAACAATTCGTTATATCCCCATTTATTATACCGAGGTAAGAGTGAAATGTAATTGTTATTATTTTGATGCTCCCATTGTCAAAATTTGTTGTTTTGTGCACCCCACTCTCCCCTGTAAAGCGCTATGTGATTGAGTATAAACTATACTAAATGGAATGAAGGTTGGGCTGTCACACCAAGGAAATGGACAGCTAAATTGGCGACATGCTTCTTTGCCTGTAGGGAGCTGCTGAAGCATTTTATTACGCGAGAGCTCATCAACTGGCGCAGCATGTGCGAGGCGTACGAGAAGGAACTGCGGCTGCAGCCGGGCACCATCTTCGCCGTTGGCGACGAGATGGGCGACCGGCGTTGGAACGACTTCAAGAGTCGTGTCGTGGAACATGTAAGATCGTTATGGAACACTATCTCTGCGCCGATGCGAAAAAAACAAACAAAAAAAGTGATGCATGACTAGGGCATGACCGGGGGCAGTACCTGTTGCCAAGTCTTGGTCCTTTTTTTTTTATTGCAGAACATCAGGGTCATGTCTCAGTACTACACGCGCATCACGCTCCAGCGTATGTCCCAGCTTCTTGACCTGTCCGAAAAAGTAAGTTGTGCACTCTGTTTGGTGGTGGAAAATTATCCACAATGCTCATCCGAATGCTCTTCTTTAACTGTATGTCTTTCCGGCGTTATTGCTGCTGCTCAAACATGTTCAAAAAAGCATTTTGTTGCATGCAGTGTTCTATTAGACAGGATGGTTTTGCCGTAGTACAGTTGAACCCCGCTACAACGCAACTGACGGGGGCGGGGAAAAAATTTAGTTGAAGAGAAATTTGCGTTGTAGTGAAATCGAAAAAATATAGCTGATCTGGGCTAGCAAAACAAAGAAACGTTTACTCTCAAATTTCAAAAATGTCTCCTGCTTCTTATTCCTTCCCAGCAGCATCACAATGTCATTCTCACCCATGTATACGAGACCATGGTGAAAAGCATGCCGAAACAACCCCTAAAACCGCCTTCGTGAATGAATCAAACAGTTTTATTAACACGTTAAAACCAGCACCGGTCCGCCGTCAAACGTATTCGACAACGCCGAGATAGAGGCAGGGTATTGTGGAGCGGCGACTTTTGCATTATTCCATGCCATTCTTATCATCCATTACTCGCCGCTAGCTGATTTTGTTGATAATGCGGACGAATAGCCGTTCTGAATAATTACCACACTGGCCAAGCACGAACATAATGATAAGCATCGGTATCGGAAAAAGTATCGTTCTGCAATTGCACCCAGCAGTTGTGTGAAGGAAACCACTAACTGAGCGACTGAGCTTCAGCTTTGGATCATTTGCGGCTCAAAAGCAAGGCAGTGGCAAAAGCAGGGCCAGGGCAGTCTCATTGCCCTCGCTATTGAGCAATGGCGGCACCTACACTTGCTGAACAGCAGTGGTATAGTGGCGGTTTTCGGTAGTGCCAACGCGTGTTTTAGACTTCGTTGACGCATTTTTAGGCTCTGAAAATGCATCGAAATGTTAAAGATTGGGTTTACTGCATAGCAATAGGTGGCTGAGCCTGGAATTGCATCGTAAAACTTCGTTAAAGTGGGACAATCGAAGAAAAGGTGTTTGTTGTGGCGACAATATCTATACACTGACTCCTGCAGACTGCTGACGGGGAATCGTGGAAATTTCGTTGGAGGTGCGTTCGTTGTAGCGGAGTACGACTGTATTGGCAACAACGTTCATGAAAATTTAATGACATATAGGCACGTCTTTGCTAGATTGTACGCTCCCAACACCGATTGGCTGGTGACGTGTTGTGCCCATGTCGACGCAAAATAGGGTTCGTTATATCTGAAATTTCGTTATAAAGGTTTATTCCTGACACTGTATCTATTGCAAGACTATTCCTAATTTACTTCTTAATATTGAGGATTTATATTATAAAGCCTTAATATATATATATTCTTCTATTCTTTATATTAAGTCACAGAACAGCAATGTCTGGCCATCGTTTGGGCAACCACAAAATTTCGACCCTACGTCTATGGCCGTCCATTTGACGTTGTGACTGATCACCACGCCCTCTACTGGTTATCGTCACCAAAAGACCCATCTGGCTCGTTGGGCATTGCGTCTCCAAGACGTAATGCCCAACGCTTCTGTTGCTTCTGTTCTTTATATTGCCCAATGCTTCTGTTCTTTATATTAAGGCTCGCAACAACTGTTACCCGGCGAAACATTATCGCCAGAGAGATGTTGAATGCGTGTACGTTGTGTCGCGCACGTAAACGTGCAATCACCGACAGGTTTCTTGTGTCACGCGTGCCCAGGGCACGGAGGATGTGTTGTCGGAGCTCGTGGTGGCTAACCGCGTGTGGGCCAAGATCGATCGGCTGGCGGGCGTGGTGAGCTTCAGCTGCCACAAGGAGCCCAACCAGGTGCTCAACGAGTGGTCGCACAACCTCAACAGCCTCATGTCTCTGCTCAGCAAGACGAGCCACCTGATTTCCAAGGAGGAGATGGTGCACCGGCACTTGCACGCTGAGGCACCACCTGCCGAAAACTGATGGACACTCGTCTTTGTTTTTTTTTTCCCCCACCTTCTTTTTGTACATACGAAACAGCAAAAGAACTCCTCGAGTGAAACGTCCGAGTGTCCTTCCTGTCTTCTTCTTTTTTTTTTCAGGCTTGCCACTAAAAAAAAAATAATGGACTAAAACCAGAAGTAGTTTCTGGTGTGCGTTGCTTCGAAATCGGAAGGCGGCACAAGATAAGCCGTATGACACCTTATGCATTAGGCTAAGTTAACTGGAAGGCAGTTGCCATCTACTTTTTCTTATTCAATTTTATTGATTTCGTCTCAAAGCTTCTGGTAGCCAGTGTGGTTTCGCACTGCCTCCCAGATTGTACGAATCGAAAGGTTTCTGCATCTTGCGTTGTTTTGCGGTGCCTCTAGCATAGGCCCACCTACGAACCTACTGATGTAGTGTGATGATGCTATATTGTGACGAAACATTAACGTCACAAATTTTGATGACCTTTCACCGTGTCACGAAGCATCATGTCATGATTTCTTGCATCACTCGTGTTGACAAAGCTGACAATCACTTTTTGCAGTTGATGAAACTTCAAAATACTAGAGCTTTAGCCTGTACAATAGACTATTATACCGAGGGATTTTGTTGGCGCCATATTGGGCCTTGCCTGTTGTGGCTTTGGCAACAAGGTTTAGCAACAAGCTTTACGGTTGACGTATATGCGTGAGAACGGTTGAGTTGGTGCTGTAAATGCTCCACAACCTTATTCATTAATATCGTTATGTACGTAAATAACGCATTCGTGTTAACAGCCCAAGCTTGCACCCATGTGCCTTGGCGAAGTCCTACAGTATTCTGGTGTACACAATACCGTTACGTGATGAGAAATTTCTCTGACAGTTACGATACTGCCTTATGCACATTCTGCGTGCAGCATTGTGTCGGGGCAAGGCCAACTGCGGCCAACTGTAGAATAGGATGGCATCCATCATGCCGTTATTAGATTATCTGTGGATGTGCATCTGCCCACTTCAGATCTGTAAGGTATTATTTGCCTTGTTGATGCTGCATGTGGCTTACTACAACGAAGATGTATGGCTGAGCACTTCGCTTGAGGTGTGAAGCATCAAACACATACTCGTTGTGCAATTAGCATTGCCTGATAGCTGTTCGTTGCGTTACTCTTCTGCCACACTCTATTACAAAGCTTAACGCCATTTTTTGCCAGACGTGATGCCTGTATAGGGTCATTTTGCAAGCGAGTTTCGAGCACCTGCGTGGCTCTGGTCGAATACTCGACTGCCATGAGGACGCGTAGGTTTAAATCCCATTCGATCCTGGGTATTTTTTTTTTCTCGTGTCTATCGGTTCTGCAACCAACGGCGACAGCGCTCAACGCAGGAACGGGTGCCTAAAGGCCTGACCACGCGAACGCGTTGCAGCGTGTCGGTGGGACTTTTTGACGCAGCACCGTGCCCTCTTTCTATGGGGAGAGAGGCGCTCGGCTATGTGTAGCTGCGCACCCTCTCTCTATAGGAAGAGAGAGCAGGTCCTCACAAAAAAGCGACACGCTGCATGTGTACATGTGGTTGGGGTTTAAGAGCTGTGGTGTAAAAAAATTTGTTCAGCTTATCTCCATAGAACAATATTTTTAACGTCAACATAATAAAGAATTTCTTCACGATTTCAACATGATGATGTTTCACTGCAAAGAAAGACCAGTGCAGTAAACTGGAACCCAAGCTCACACGTGTAGTCAAATAATTGAGTCGCACACTGTTTTCGCAAACACGAGCAGATGCCACCCATCGCCTTGACCGCCAAACCTGATGGCCCCTCTTTGTTACATTTTTTTCTTGTACAGATTTGTGGAACTCCTAGAGTGAAACATCTTATGCATCATGGTTTCTTTTTAGGCTCCCCATTAAAAAAATATATATATGGGCAAAAACCAAGAAAGCTTTCTGTTGTGTTATCTTGAAATCTAAAGGAAGCAAAACAGTAGAGCTGTTTAGCCTGTCCTATATTATGTTGGTGCATACGATACTTCTGTATGTTACTCTGAAATGTTATGTATTCTTTACCTCGTGTCCGAAGAACACTGTTTTGGCCTCGATGTACAGGAGCATTTATCTGATTGCAGTGTAATGTTTCATTGCTGACGCAGTCTGAAACTTTTACCCACTTAGCATCTCATGTCCAAAGACATTTTGCCGATATTGAGAATTGTGGGGAAAAAAGTAAAAAAAAAATCGCAGCTTATTCACAGAGTGAATGATGATGAGTAGGGCGAAGCATCCGGGCATTCTTTCATCCATCCATTTGTGCATCCGTCCGTCCGTCACTCCATGCATGCGTCTGACTGCCCGTCTATTCGTCCATCCATGCATGCGTGAGTCCCTCCCGTGAATCCGTCCATTCTTATACCTGTGCATCCATCCGTCTGCCCGTGCGTCCGTCCTATTACACACACTTCTACTGGACCAACGTCATCTAGGAAATGTGATGAGAAATGGTGACGAGACAGCACCATTCATTATGCTATTTAGGAGATACTGCCAGTTACACCTGACGCAGGAGAAGGTTAGACTAAGCGGAGCTGCGCCCCTAAAGCTCTGCAAAACACTCTTGTTTACTTTTGCAGTTTGTGCCGAAGTTTTTCGGCATTACTCCGATAGCATGTGGTGCCCAACTGCAAACCTCTGCAGCCCTGTTTCATTGTCAAGAGATGCCAGACTATAGACCGCAAAAGGCTCATTCGATTGCCATCCGTTACACAATCGTAAACCAAGGTTGCTTTGTTTTGTTGTGTGGAATAGTTTCAAATTTTGCATATTGATAGTGTTAGTATGCCTTTAGCAGTGAGCCGAAGACACTTTTATTGGGGGAAACGCAAAGGTCCCGCCGACCAGCTGTCAAGCGGAGCGAGTGCGAGCAGCACCAACACTCTTCCTTCTCTTCTTTCACTGTTGCTCCTTCCTGTGCCATATATTGATGCTACAAATCAATCCCCCCCCATGAAAAGTAGCCATCCTGACGACCTATGGACCAGGTAGGATGGGTGGGTCGTAGTGCTGTTTCAATCGATCGACATGAACAGTCTCGCGACGGCGTCGGTCTGTCGATGGTTGAACCGGCTCAACAATATAGTTAACCGGTGAGGACTGACATAGGACTTCGTAGGGGCCTTTGTACTTCGGCAGTAGCTTGGTGGAAAGGCCAGGAGCAGATGAGGGATTGCGAAGCCATACCAACGTGCCAGGCAAATATGACTGGTGGGAGGGGGCAGGTTTTCATAGTGATGGTCCTTTTGGCACGCTTGATCTTGTGTGGTTAAGGAACATGCGAGTTGCCTGCAATCTTCCGCATAGGTGGTGACTTCGGATAGAGTTGTGGATTCTGAAGCGTCCAGACGGTACAAGAGAATTGTGTCCATGAATAAGGAAGGTTCACGCCCGTAAATGAGAAAGAGCGCAGAGAATCCTGTCGTAGAGTGAGTGGCGCTATTGTAAGCGTAAGTAACAAAGGGGCGTATGCGGTCCCAGTTGGTGTGGTCAGCGGACACGTACATAGCATGTCGCCCAGTGTGTGGTTAAACTGTTTGGTCATTCCATTCGTTCACGGATGGTACGCGCTGGTTGTCCAATGCGCAACGTTGCATTCACGAAGAAGGGCTTGTACGGCTTCGGAAACAAACGTATGTCCGCGGTCACTGAGTAGCTCACGAGGCGCGCCATGGCGAAGAACAAAATTGTGAAGGATAAACAAGCCAACTTCACGGGATGTGGATTCTAGCAGCGCAGCAGTTTCAGCATAGCGTGTCAAGTGATCGATAGCGACAACCACCCAGCGGTTCCCGTCAGGAGCGTAGGGAAGGGGACTGTACAAGTCAATTCCGATGCGGTCAAAAGGTCGGGATGGGCAAGGCAACGGCTGCAGTTGTCCATTGGCTATGTTCGGTGGGCTTTTTCGGCCTTGACATTTGGAACACGAACGTACGTACTGTCGGACTAATCAGTACATTCCGCACCAATAGTATTGCAGCCGGAGGCGTGCATACGTTTCTATCACACCGGCGTGTCCGCATTGAGGATCCGCGTGAAAGGAGTCGCAAATAGCAGCACGTAGGTGGCGAGGAATCGCAAGAAACCACTTGCAGCCATCGGAAAGGTAGTTGCGATGGTACAGCAGTCCATCGCGGATGGCAAAATGTCGAGCTGTACGTCCTAGTGAACGATTGGCGGTACCTTGGGGTGGCTGAGACAGTACCTCTATCATAGAGACTATCCAAGCGTCTTGGCGCTGCTCGGAGTGCATTTCAGTGAACGAAGGTGTCGCAGCATCGGAACTGGAAACAGACGCACTTTCATGTTCATGGGGAAGTGGAGAGCGGGAAAAAGCGTCGGCATCTGAATGTCGGCGGCCCGACCTGTAGATGACACGGATATCATAGTCTTGGAGACGCAATGCCCAACGAGCCAGACAGGTCTTTTGGTGACGATAACCAGCAGAGGGCGTGGTGATCAGTCACGACGTCAAATGGACGGCCATAGACGTAGGGTCGAAATTTTGTGATTGCGCAAACGATGGCCAGACATTGCTTTTCTGTGACCGAATAATTCTCTTCAGCCCTAGTAAGAGTGAGACTGGCATAAAAGACCACATACTTGTCGAAGCCAGATTTGCGTTGAGCAAGAATAGTGCCAAGGCCGACTCCACTAGCGTCGGTGTGGATTTCGGTGGGGGCATCTGGGTCAAAGTGACGGAGAATCAGTGGAGATGTTAGCAAATGATGTAATTTCGCAAATGCGTCATCGCAAGCGGAAGACCACGCCGAAATTCCTTCACTGTTAGAAAGTAGCCAAATGCAAAATTACGGACGAATCGACGAAAGTATGAACATAAGCCGATAAAGCTCCGGAGTTCCTTTAGTGTCGATGGCTTAAGAAACTGGGCGACGGCACGCAGTTTCGCAGTGTCGGGTAGAACACCATCCTTGCTGACAACATGCCCTAAGATGGTGAGCTTCCGAGCGGCAAAATGGCACTTTTTCAAATTTAGTTGGAGCCCAGCATGTGTGAGGCATTCTACGACACTTGCGAGGCACAAAAGGTGGGTATCAAAGTCTTTTGAAAAAACGACGACGTCGTCCAGATAGCAAAGACACGTCTGCCATT